CGCAGGGGCTGACAGGACCCCACACACCAGGGTGTGGCCGCGCTGGCTGAGACCGCCTGGACCCCACAGGGCTCTGGGTGTGCCCCGGTGTCTCCTGTGGCCTCACGATGCGCTCATTAGCATACGCATCACACCCCCACCGCGCACGACGGCTCCAGAACACCCAGATCTGTGCAAAAATGGGCGGCCGTGCAGCTCGGAGACATCTCCACCTTTTCCAGGAATCCTGTGGATTCTCCTCCGGCCCCAGCGCCCCTGCGTGGGACGGACTCTAGAGGGCGCCACACTCCCTTTCTCCAGTGGGAGCTTCGGCCTTCGCAGGAACTCTCTGCCTTTCACTATTTGCCGACTCGCCCCTGATTCCTTCTCGCGGTGGTGTCCAGAGCCTGGACGCTGGCCGGGTGGAGGTCTCACTGGGGGTTGGGGTGTCCCCTAGCCCACCGAATCGGGGACATCTCCCTGCTTTCTCCTCTCCTCCTTCCCCCATAGCAGAGCAGCTGGGCCCAGGGGCTGCGGCCCACCAGAGGACGACCTCACTCACTCCCTCTGGACGGGGCAGCAGGACCGGCAGCAGAGGGGCCCTTGTCTCTTTTGGGTGGAAGTTTCCGGACCGGCTCTATTCTTTGGGAAGGAAATGGCTGGAGGCGCCATGTCTCCAGGTCCCAGTTCTGCCACAAGGTCCCAGTGAATGACGTGGCTTTGGGTGACGACCAGGCCACGGTCCTGAGGGACGCGAACTCAGGGGCGGTGGGACTGGGTGCCCTGTGCCTGGTTCACAAGCCTGCATCCTCAGGCTCCAGCACCATCTTCAGCTTCCCGGCGGGTCTCAGGCTTCCCTGGCTGTGGGCTGCCTCCCAGGCACGTCCAGGGCTGCAGCACCATCTTTGCAGACTCGGGACCTGGCACACTCCCTGGGCTCTTCCCTGTCATCCTGCCCTTTCCTCTCCTGCTTCTTCTGTAACAAGAGGCAGGAAGGAGCCCGTGGGAGATGGGGAGACTCAGACCAGCCTCACCGTGTTTCCACACACCCCTGCCTGCCCGTCCAGAAGCCTCTCTCGGGCCCAGGGGACACACAGGTCTTAGGAATGGTTTATTGACAAACAGCTTCTGGGGGAGTGGCTGGGTTCCCTCGTAGCAGGGTCCTCACACGGGGCTCACACAGAGCAAGGCTGCTCAGCTGGAATGTGGCCCGTCAACACTGCGGCACCCAGGCTCCCGGCCACTGGACCCCTTCGCAGGGATCTGGGTGTCCCCCGAGGCCAGGGCCGGCTTCCCTCGGGGTGCTAGGTACTTGTTCTTCTGGCTGTAGAACAGGTTCCTCTGGAAAAGGCGAGGAAGGCGGCCCTGGTGCAGCAGCACAGCCAGGACCATCCCTGCAAGAGAAGGCAGATCCCAGGAGGGCCGCAGGGCTCCTGGGCCCAAACACAGACAGGACACCCACTTCCAGGCCTGTGTCAGGACAGGGGAGCCAGCCAGCCAGGGGCCCCAAGAACCCTGAGGCCCAGCCCCTGCCTGGTCCTGGTCTTCCCTCCCTGGTCGTGCCCCTCCCTCTAGGTAGGCCAGCCGTGGGGATGGGGGCAAGCCCGTGGGGTTCCTTGTACTTCTGAACCACCCTCTGGGATGAGTGACTGGAATTCCCCTGCCCCCACATTGTCCTGAGCCACCTGCAGAGCTTCTGTGGCCATTTTCTTCTGGGACATGATGTGGCGTCCCAGGGTGGCTGTTTGCAGGGCTGTGGCCTGGCGTAGAGGTGGGATGTGAGTGGACAAGAAAGATGTGGGTGCCCCTTGGTGGGAGGCTGGGCCCACGTTCTTCCAGAACTCCAGGAGCAGAGACTCCTAAATCCCCGCCTGCCTTCCAGGTCATTGGGAAGGGCTGGTGTCCTGGGCAGAAGGGGAGAGTGGATCCTCTTCAAGTTTGATCTCAGTCCTCTAAGGATTTAACCCATAGTATGTTGGCTCCACTAGGGCTGGCCTGAGCGGGACCTGCCTGTCACCACCTGTAGCTGCTGTGGCTCCGGACAGTGGCCCCTGTGCCTATAGCTTGCTGAGACTGGCCTTTCCCCTCACTCAACCCTCCAAGGCCCACTCTGGTCCTATCTCTGCTCCCAGGAGGGCAGGCCCAAGGAGGCCGGATGACCTGCTCAGGGGCGCAGCCAGCAGGTGCAGGTGGCCGCTCACACCCAGGGAGCCAGCCCCATGTCCACACTTGGCTACGAGGCTCCTGCCTGCAGCCGCAGAGCTCCCCAGGGCTCATGTTGACACTGCACACGTGGATAAAGGAGGTTAATGGAGGGACACAGCCTGTTTTTCGGGTTCCTGAAGCTGCTCTAAGATGACAGGAAAGGGATGCTGTCAGAAGTGTCAAGCATCCAGATAGATGAGACGGGAAGAGACGCAGGAGCACAGCGTGGGACTGACAAGACACCGATGACATAGAGGGGCCGGATCCCCCCGCAGGGACGAAAGCCGGGAAACAACCCACTTCTTCCGCAGATGCCCCGTGCTTTCAGAAGCTGGTGCCCGGGTCTCTGTGGGATGGGGTAGCCCTGGGACTCACCTAGGAGGAGGGACAGCAATTCCACATGGGAAGCTCCAGAGCCCCAAACCCCAAAATACAGACACAGCCAGTGCCTCCCTCCCTGGCCCTGGCAGGAGACAGGGTCCTCTCTAGAGGGGGCATGTGGACTCGAGCATCAGGCCCGCCCGAGCCTGGAGTCCCGCCTGAAACAGGGATCCCAGCCTCTTCCCACTTGGCTCCTAGAAGCCGCAGATGCCCTTTGGGCTTCTCCATAGAGGTGGTTCTACAGTGAGAGGTTGTAGCGGGGTGAAGAGTATTTCCCCAGCGACATGTCCTTCCCAGAACACAGGACGTGCCCTTGTTAGAAATAGGGCCTGGGACATAACATTAGTTAAATTACAGTGATGTCATACTTGAGTAGAGTGAACCTTAAATTCAATGACTGGTGTCCCTATACAAAGAGAGAGACAATGACACAGAGGAGGCAGCCAGGGGAATCGGCAGACATGGGAGCGGTGCGTCTCCAAGCCCGGGGACAACGGGGGTGCCAGAGGCCCCCAGAGCAGGGAAGAGGCAGGAGGCTCCTCCCCAGCAGCCTCCAAGGAGAGCTGACCCTGTCAATGCCGCGATCACAGGCTCCAGCCCCCAGAGCTGGCTGAGCATACAACCCTGTCACGTGAAGCCTCTTCGTTTGCATCCTTTGCCTTGCAGCCCATGAAGCCACCACAGGCCATGGCGTGCAGCCTGAGAAACTCAGGAGGAAACTGATCTCCCACCCGGAACTCTGCCCAGGCCTCGCCGACACTCAAGTGCAGATACTCAGAACCGAGATACTGTATTTCAGACAAAGGAGGTCTGAAGCGTACCTGCCAGGTCCCCGTTCTCAGGAAGCTACTGTGAGACAGGCACCAGCAAAAAGAAGGAATAAACCAAAACAGGAGGCCATGAGGAAAGCAAGAAACAGAGATGCAACCAGGAGAGAGGTGAAGGGCAGCCCCAGACTGGAGATGGACACCTGTGGGTAACCCGGAGCTGTGGATCCTTGGGGGAGACGGTGCCCACGCAGAGCCCTGGTGTTGAATTACCCAAAGCACCCAGAAACCTGGGCAGGAGAGAGTCCAGGACCCTTTACCTCAGGAAGCAAGGCCTGTGTCGGAGGAGAGGCGTCCTGGGCCACCGCAGCTCACCCGGGTCGTGTTTCCACGCCAGGGAACTGGCGAGGGCTCTGGAGCTCATCGGGAGGAGGAGGCCGACCCACCCTGGGTGAAGGATCCGCAGGGGAGTGCGGGGGCCGCCAGGGAGGAAAGCCGGCCCCCCACATTGCAGGAGACAGCCCAGGGTTGACGCCTGAACTGAAGAGTCTCAGAGAAACCCTGCAGGCCAGTGTGTGGGCACAGAGAGGCCAACACTCAGCTGCTTCTTAGCAGAGGGCGGTGCTGCCTCAGGGACGAGGGGCAGGAGTGGGGTCCTGATGCACTTCATGCCCTTTCTAGGGCCGTGCACATGCCTGAGATAGTGTGACCACATCAGAACCACGGCGACAGATCACGACGATGTCAGTGTCACCATTGCAGGGCCAGGGTGCCTGAGAGATCCCCAGCTCCTGTCTTCCCCCCAGGGGAGGCTGAGGCATTGACCCTGAGACCTCCCCAGTGTAGAGCCAGCAGAAGCTGAAAAAAGCTTCCAGAATTCCACAGGAACCCAACGGCCCTTCTGGTACCTCAGCGAGGTGGAGCCGAGTGTCTGAGAGCAGGTGCAGGAGAAGGTGTGGGCTCCACCTGGGCCTCTGACACCAGGAACCAGAATCCCCAGATCTAGGGCCAAGGGGGGCTGCATGACCTCCCCCTGCTGCTCCTCTGCTTGGGTCCAGGATGCAGGGAAGGAGGGGCAAGCACTGTCGGGGAGCTGAGGGGTCCCCTGTGTGCATCAGCCAGTCCCAGACCCGCCCCACCAGGAGGCAAAGGGACCGGCTGCTCCACCCCATGCTCACAGCCCTGTAAGTGCACGATGGCACCCTATATCATCTAAGTGGGGCTCCCTGTATCCTGAGGATTCAGGGACTCCAGAATGAGCCCCTCTCGGGGGAGCCTAGCTCCGGGTGTGTGGAGATGCCACCTGGGATGGGAACCCCAGGTTCATGGAGCCCCACTGCAGACACCGTTCCCCATGTGCCCAGCACCCCTTGCAAGGTTGGCCTCTCCCCAGCCTGCCCCCTTCTTACATGGCTACAGCTTGCTCGGCACCAGGACGGTGTCCACAGTGAGACACGCCGTCACAGCCTCTTCCCCACACACCGTGCCCACTGCAGAGACCTCCCCAGGAGCACTGACCCAGCACCCTCACCTCCACTCTGTAGGACCCCATGTGCCAGGACACTCTCTGGGCCCCAGCAGCCCTAGGGACCCCACCTCGCCCCTGCCCTTACCTGTCAGAGGGCCCAGCCAGTACACCTGGGCGTACTCCAGTAAGGTGTGTCCTGAGCAGCGAAAGGTCACAGAGGTGGCCAGGGCAGGGTTGAAGAAGGCGGACGTGAAAGGCCCGGCTGTGGGCAGAGCACGGTCAACCCTGGTCCCCAGCCCTGCCTGACGCCCCTCTCCAGGCCAGGACTTGACACCCACCACCGAACCCACACCGAGAACCCCACTGTGTGCAGGCCTGGGGGTTGCTCTTGGCTCCTGGAGCCCCACCTGGCCCCCCGTACTGATAGACACATAACACAGCCAGGCTGCTTCAGTCAAGCTCTGGGTCCGGGTCAGCAGCTTGGGGGCCCCAGGGCCGTCGAACACCCTCCCGACGTCTCACCCGGACTCCCGTGACCCACCCATGCTACCCTCCAACACCCCACCTTGGGGGAAGTGGCCCTCGAGAAAGATAGGGACAGAGAGAGACGGAGACAGAGACTAAGAGAGACAGATAGTGAGAGAGAGAGACAAAAAGAAACAGAGACAGGGAGACAGAGAGAGAGAGAGGAGAGACAGAGATCTCAGAAAGGGGCAGCAGCAGAGGAGAGGCGAGGACCCGGCTGTGTGATGTAAGACACTGTTCTGCAGCCCCAGGCCAGGGTGACTACCCCAAATAACAGGATCCACCAACACCAGGGACCTGCCTCTGGGCAGGGAAGAGCAGGGAGTGGGCCCAGCAGAGGGCAAGGGCCACAGGGACATGGAGCCTGCGTCCGCCCACGTGGAAACCAGGACCCTGCGGATGGGCAGCTCTGTGCCTGAAACCAGGCTCCTTCGGCTTCATGGAGGCAGGACCTTTGACAGGAGCTCTCCAGTGCCACCCAGGACAGAGGCCCGGGCAATCTGCCACAGACGTGTGTCCCTGCAGAGCTCCCTGCTCACCCGTGCCTCAGTTTCCCAATCTGTACAGGGCTCTAGTGGCACCTTCCCATGGCCTTTGTGGTCCAGGTTCCGTGGTGTCTGCCCAGTGCTGGGTCGGGGGCAGTGCCATGGACCCAAGTGCTGGTCCTGTCCTGATTAGGACCTCGGACCCTGGGAAGGAGACCTGGCGCCATGCTCCCTGCAGCCCTTCCTGTGGTGTCCCCAGTGCCTGGAGCACGAGGCGGCCGCCCCTGGCTCTCCCCGCAGCCCCAGCGCGTGGACACCTGTCCCGGGAGCTTGCCGAACAAAGGCTTTCGTGGTGGGGGAGCCTAGCGCTCGGAGGGGAAAGCAGACATGGGGGGCTGGATCAGACGGAGGGTCTGAGTGGAGGGAGCTCACAGGGGGGTGAGGGGACTATGAGAGGTGGGTCCCACGGTCAGCCTAGGTGCAGGCAGGGATCGCAGGATGCGGGTGTCATTAGGAGGCCAGGGAGACCGAGTGGGGCAGGTGGGACAGGACCTGTCACTCTGGAAGGGGTGATAGAGGGTGCAGGGACTCCCACACCAGACCAGGGCTGGGCCAGGAAGCGCCTGCCTCGGCAGTCCCAAATACCCCAGATGCAGAACTTCTGGGAGGAACGGGAGCAGCTGGGACTGGGGAGAGGTGCAGTGGCCATGATGGCCCTGGCAGGGGACAGGCTCCTCCACAGCACCCCATGTCCAGCACAGGCCCTCGTCCACCTGCCAGGTCGCAGGAAGTCACCGCCCCTTCTCGTGGGTTTGTTGCCACCTGGGCCAGCAGCCCTCTCTCCTGGGTGTGAACGGGCCTGAGTGTGCATGGAGGCCACACAGGTGGAGGGGTCTTGAGGGGCTCAGGGGAAGGGGAATTAGTGCTCACCTGTGTAGGCCGTGACGGTGACCAGCAGAGCCACGGCGGGCACTCTGTAGGCGGGAGGACTGTGCCGCAGGTGCAGGAGGAGCAGATGGAAACAAAAGGCGCAGGCGGCCTCCACAAGCGCCCCGTGGGGCACAGATGTGCGCAGGGCCGAGCTGCAGCTCTGGGCCATGAGGCTCTGTAGCAGGTGCAGGTCGCTGAGCTCCCAGGCCCAGCAGAGGTGCGTCAGGGTGCAGGCGGCCTGCATGCCCAGCCCCTGGGCCGCCAGCTTCAGCAGAGTGCCAGGCAGAGACGCCTCGGCCATGAGGAACTCCTGCAGGGACACGGTGGGGTTGGCCAAGGCCCGGTCCAAGGTGGCCCCATGCGCCAGGAAGAGCAGGAAGAGCAGGGTGAGCAGCAGGTCAGGCCCGAAGCCCCCAGCCCAGGGCCCGAGCTCGACCAGCATCCTCATTTCCAGGCAGCAGGCCCCGAGCTGCACCGCGCCCACCACCTCCCGGGCGAAGCCTTCATAGGCGCCCACTGGGAGCAGGGCCTTGGAGGCCCGCCTGGCCCCCTCACAGAGGGCGAAGGTGGCAAAGAAGAAGGAGAGGGACACGTTAAGACCTGCCATCGGCCTGGGCCCCGCCGAGGAGCTGTGCCTGCAGGACACCGGAGGGGACAGGGCAGAAGCTGGCCGGTTCCCACAACCCAGAGGGCCCAGGAGTGTGGGAGAGGGCACCTGGGCCTCTGGGAACACCACACCTGCAGCCCCAGCTCCCGCCCCACCAGCTGCCACCCAGGTGCACTGCCAGGATGGCCACAGGGGCCCTGCCCCCACAGCCTGGCATCCTCCCGGCACGCGACACACCCAGACGCGCTGGCCACGCTCGGCCAGCCCTGGACTCTGGAGACTGGCCCAGCTCTTCTGAGCCTCTAGCTGAGCTCCACTACTCCTACCTGCGCTCTTGGCTCCAGGACCCCAATACCCGCTCCCTGCACCTGGCCCCTCTTGAGGCAGGGTCCCCCAGATCCCTGCACCTCCTCCAGGTCCCTGCCTGAACAAGGGCCCCCATTTCTGCCTCCCTGCATGAATGCAGTGAGGGCCCCATGCTTATTGCACCTGCACTGTGTCCCCACTGGGGTGAGACCCCCACTGAACCTGCACTGTGTCTCCACCTGGGAGGGCCCCTCATGGCCCCTGCTCCTGTTCCCTGACCCTGCCTAGGTGAAGCTCACTCCTGCCTGCACCTGTAGGTGTCTTCCCTTGAGTGAGCACCCCCTGCTCCCTGCACCTGGCTGTGTCCCCACCGAGGCCAGGCCCCCTGCACGTGGGCTGTATCCTTGCCTATGGAAAGGTCCCCTCATTCCTGGTTGCCTGCACCTCCACTGTGTCCCCACCTCAGCAGGGACCCCCAAGCTTCTTGACCTGCCTAGGGTCCGGTCTGGGTGAGACCCTCCTCCACCTGCTGTGTGTCCCCTCTGGTCAAGAGTCGGCAGCAGCCCCTGCCCCAGCCCCACATTCCCTGCCCTGTGCTGCCCTCACCTGCCCCTCAGGAGAACTCAAGACCACCCCTCACATCAACCTCCCTCCCACCTTCCTGCCCAGAAAGCGCTTCCCAGAGATGAAAACCGAAAGTGCCATCATCATTTGCTTGAAATTCCTGCAGAGGGGCCAGTTGCCCACAGCTGCATGGAGATGGTGCTGAGCCTGGGTGTCTGCAGGGGGAGAGAGCCGGGGCTGGGACCATCCAGAGCTCCGGACCCCGAGGGATGGCGCATGAACCCTGCGGGCCCCACGATGGGCAGTCTGTCACCCTGCAGCATGGTTCCTGTCCACTGGGTCTGCACCCAAGCACTGGGACACCAGCCACGGCCATACGGGGTACAGCATGTGGGACCTGCCCAGTGTCCCCCCCGTAGCCCTGTCCTTCTCCCCCAGGACCGACTCCAGCCCCCGAGGGCCTTCCCCCAACCTGGCCCACAGCTCCCCTTTCTCTGAGACTTAGATTTCCTTTTATTTTTGGAAACCCAGTTGGGTCCCACCTGGCGTCCCCCTGGCACAGCTGGGGAGACTGAGACCAGGAGGGAAGGGACCCGCCCGAGGGCACTGCCTGTTTTCAGGGAGAGCCCTGTCCCTGAGAGTTCGTGTCCCTTGAACATGTTTGAGAGTTTTGTTCCTTTTCATTACTGACTTGAACCCATGTCATGAAGAGTCACAGTCTGGCCGTTTTTCTGATGATGAACATGTGGGTGGATTTCAGTTCTTACTACTATGAATAAAGCTGGTATTAGCATTTTGGTCTATTCCTTTTGTAGATACAGACTTTTTTGTCTTTTGGGTAAATTCCTAAAATGCCCCGGGTGAGCTCTGTCCACTGAATAACTCCCAGATCTATAAAATTGGAAAGAAGACTTTATTTCCTAGAAAGGGGTAGGCCCTTCAGGGTGGCCGGCAGAGCCAGGGCCGGGCACCTGGAAGGAGGGGGTTGGGGCAGGAGCTTCTTGCTGAACAGGTCGGCTAAGCACACGCGCTCCCTGGGTTGCTGGAGGAGCCGTGAACATTCAGGAAGGGGTCGTCACTCATGCATACTGAACAAACACGCATGTGACATGCATCCCAAGTTCCCTTGGGGGTGGACACGTGACATCTAAATGTGTTCCTATGAGACCCGTGCCTGGAAAGGTGAAGCAGCAACACAAAGGCGCTCAGTGCACAGCCTCTGGAAACCAACCAGAACCAGTCCCTGCTGGGTGGTCCCTGGTCAGAATTACAGAAATCAGCCTCTTGGCCAATCAAACTCAGGGCTTGCGGCACAGAGGAGTGGGGCTGTGTGTCAGCGTCTGCAGTGGGTGGGCTGCACCTGAGTGAGTATGGCTCTCCTGGAGGCCAGTGCTGGTTTAGCTGCGAGAGCAAAAGAGAACCCTCCTGGCCGGCAGCCCCTGGTTTCTGCTTTTAAGTGTCCGTCCGGTGCGTGGCTCCACCCCTGCCAGGCAGGGCTTCAGGTCTTGTTGACTGTTTGCTATCTTATCGCCACGAGGAACCTGTTTTGTCAGTCTCCTCTCCGCCTTCACCTTCATGCGAGTGAGTGTGGTGTCCCAACCACAGACGGAGGGGCTGTGACGCGGCAGGTCCCACCTCCCGCTCTGTCATGGCGGAATTTTTGGCATGTTTTTCAGATTTCTCTGGAATCCCCTTGGCCGAGAGGGGTCTGTTCAGCTTGTTGGTGCGGGGGCTCGGGATTTCATTTCTGCTTCTCTTATGGCAGGCGAGTGAAAACGTTTTAAGGGACTGTCCAAACCTTTCCCGAAGTGGTTGCGGTGTTTTAACTCTCGCCATTCGTGTGTGACAGTTTTGGTGTCTTTAAAAGTCGGTGGTGTCGAGATTTAAAAACTGTCTCTCTTCCGCTGATTGTGCGGTTCTGACTCTTCCTGGCTTAAAGTTGCATTTCCCTCATGACAAAAACTTGTTAAACAATTAGTCCTGCACGGTCTGTCCATTCCAGTCTCCTCTGTTCATTTTTAAAGTGGGGTTGTGTGTCTTTTTATTGATTTGTGATAATTCTTTCTATATTCTGGATTCGAGATTTTTGTGTGAGATTTGTTTGGCAGGATCTCCGCAGACTTCATGGTCATTTTCTGCGTAGTGTCTTTTGATGACTAGAGTATTTTCCTTCGAATAAAGCCAAATTGATTATTTTTAAATGCACTCGTCACTGCTTTCTCCTCCCTGCCCAGGAAATGTCTGTGCACTCTCAGGTCACAGCAATGTTCCCTGATGTTTTCTGCCAGACGTTTCATGATTTCCCTGTGAAGTGAGGTCAATGACACCTATTCAGATAGTCGGCGCTTCTTGCACAACATAAGGGTGCGGTTTTGTGTGTTTCCACGTGGACGTCCAGTTGCTCTGGACGCCACACCCAGCCCTGGCTCCACCTTGTGGGTACAAGGCTCTGCCTCTCCTTAGTGATGGGCAGTCAGAGCGGAAACCCCCACTCCCCCTTTGGGAAAGTCTCCAGATGTCTCTCCTGGTCAGTGTTTCCCTCTGAGAAATGCAACATACCCCGTGGAGGCGAGGCTGGCTGTGACGCTGCCCCTGCTGCCCAGACCTTGGGCCGGGACAGGGCGGGCCGCACAGGCCTGGAGTGTGGCCGCTGGAGCCAGCTGGATGGAGGCCTGACTGTGGGAGGCAACTGGCCATCCCTGGCACTGGGAGGGCAACAGACAGGGGTGAAGGGGGGGTTGGGGTGCACAGGCCATGCTTTGGGGACCACAGCCTGGTTTCCAGCCCCTGGGATGCTGCCCCCACTCCCTGAGCTGCCCTCCTGGCCCTGGGCATGGGACCAGGACTGGAGGCAGAAAGCAAGGGGTGGGCTCTGTGTGGGGCAGTGCAGGCCACTCTCAGCCATCACCACCTGCCCAGAACCCCCTCAGCCTGGGCCGAGAGCCCACCTGGCCTATACCACAGCCTGGAGGCCCCACACAGAGCCACCGAGCACAGAGCCCCCCAGCCCACAGCTCCGGGAGGGAGTAGCCAGAGCCACCCCCATCTCCCAGAATCCCTGCCCGGAGCCCCCATAGCCCCCTCCCATGGGCTCTGCTTAAGGACTGACCTTCCTGGACCTCTGGTGTCTGCCTGAGCAGAAGGTCAGCGAGCCCACGTCCTGTACAGCCGGCCTGAGGCCGTTACCATCCAACAGGGTGCTGCTGGGGCTCCCTCTGTGGTTCTGAGTCAGGGCCCAGCCTCCCCCCATGACCAGGTCCTGTGCAAGCCCCCAGAGCTTGCCCTGCAGAGGACCCTGGCCAGCCCTGAGCCAGCCTCTGAGGGCCTCATGGGAGCCACTCCTGTCATCTGACCCGTGACCTGTCCAGGACACCTGCCCTCGGCTGTGCAGGGCCTCACTCCTGCTCCTGAGCCAGTTCCGCCCGCCTCCCCGCATCCCCTCCAAGAAGCTGGGAGGGGCCCCTGGCAGGGGCTGCATCACTGCAGGGAGCAGGCAGCGGATGCCCGGACTCCACCCAAGGCCAGAAGAGGTCTTCCTGGAAACGGGCAGCCCCTGAGAAATGAAACTGAAGCCGCAGTCACATGGAGGTGGCGGTGCGTCAGGGTGGGGCGCAGGAAGCTGTGGGAAGGAAGTAGATCCGTATCTTATTTCTATGGTAGGACATAGTTCAAGCCACAGGGAGGGGAGGGGACCGTTGGAGGAACAGTGGAAGTAGGGGAGGGTCCACCCTGCACTTCCTCTCCCCGGAAACAGGTGCGAGGGGTGCCTGAGGCCTCTGCCCAGGCCACCTCCTCAGTGCCTGGCGGTCAGAGGGTCCACCCCAGTGTGCATGGGAACAGGCCTCCCTTCCACATGAAGGTCACCTGGGGCCACCTCGTGGGCCTTCCCTGTCCTTCCCGATCACTGGGGATGGGGGAAACTGGCCTTGGAAGGCCTGGGGACCCCTCTTGGTCAGCCTTGCCTCTGGCTCAGAGCTTTGGGCCAGGGCCCAACCTGATCCAGGACTGGCTGAGTGTCCCCCACACGGCCACTCTGCTCCCACACCTGGAGGTGGGACTTAGTCAACATGCCCTCCCAGAAGGAGCCAGATGGGGAGGGGGCTACGGGCTCCTCTGGTGTCACCCTGTGCCCACAGCCTAGGAAGGAGGCCCCCACCTCGGGGCCAGGGGATGTCCTGGCATAGATGGAGCTGTTTGGTGTCACCTGGACCAGAGGCCTGTGGGACCCGGAGCCTCGGTGCCGTGCCTGGGAGACCCAGGCCTGGAGATGGCTCTGCAGACTTTACCGTCACAGGGCATGACGGCCCCATACTCGCAGGACCTCCCAGGAAACACCGAACTGGAAGGTTGTGGGTCCATTTGGAGGTGGCTGTGAGGGGCTGCTGGTGAGCAGGCTTGGGGGTCTGCTCATGCCCTGGGAGGTCAGGCTACCTTCAAGTCCCCACGGTGCCCCTCACGGTGCTGGAATGGGGTCTTCCTCCACCCCTGCCAGCCATGGCCTGCTGAGCCACCTGCTGAAAGCTGCAGTGACACAGCCTGGGCTGGAGAAGACAGCGGCTCCAAAGACCCGCGGCAGCCACAGGCCCCTGTGGAAAGGAGGGCTGCGGCTGTCAGGAGCGCTTCTGCCTGATTTTGTAGGGTTGTGTGTGTGTAGGTTTTGTATGGACATGTCCAAAGAAAACATGTTAACTCGCTTCCCTCTGCTGTCCCATCACCACGTAGCATGAGAGGCACTGACTTATGTCACACTATTAAAGCCTTGTGAATTTTACAACAGAATGTTTATGTTATGGGATATCAGGGAATAAATAACCACCTTCAAGGACTTCATCTCTCCTGTTGGGGATGGGATGAGCATGTTTTCCGCTGTACCCAGGACACTTGTATCAGGTTTGGTGGAAGCGTGGCCTCAGTATGGTGTTTTTAGCCACACACTATGGTGTTTTTAGAAATTAAGTATGGCTTAAGGAGACGGGTATGGGTGCCAAGCTGACAAGGGGTGGACTCGCGATGCTTAACTTTTTGTGTCAAATTGACTGGGCTCAGGGATGCCCAGAGAGCTGGCAAATCATGGCTTCTGGTGCGTCTGTAAGGGTGTTTCAGGAAGAGGTGAGGATTCGTCAGTCGGCTGAGCTCAGCTATGAGGGTGGGTAGCACCCAGCCCAGTGCAGACCCAGGCACAGGGGGCTCCTCTGTCTTCTTGGGCTGGGGCGTCCATCTCCTCCTGCCCACAGACCAGGCATTTTTGGTTCCCAGGCCCTTGCGCTCTGGGAGTGACACCAGCGCTTCCTCGATTCTCAGGCCTTCGGGCTCGGACGGAATGATGCCACCGGCTGTTCTAGTTCACCGGCTTAGGGACAGCAGTTTGTGGGACTTCTCAGCCTCCATGATCAAGGAGCCGATTCCCATAAAAATCTCCTACATATATCTCCCCGGACTCTTTCTCTGGAGAACCCTGACTCCTATACTGGGGCCTAGAGGTTTGGTTGTAGCAGGCTCTGGGCCCTGATCCAGCACCCGGCGGTACCCCTAGCTCACGGGCCCTAGGTGGGGAGGGACAGTCGGCCTGAGGGAGGTGCCTCCTGGGCCCCACAGTGGGCTCCTGTGCAGACAGGCAGGGTGGGGAGCAAGGACAAGGCTGTCCCCTCCTCTGGCCTCCGCCTACAGGTGTGACTTCTTTCTAGCCTTTTCTGCGGGTGAGGGGTACACAGGGGCAGGCCAGCCCCAGGCGCCCTCAGGACTGCACCCTAGGCCTGCCCTGGAGGAGTGGGGATGGGGCTGGGACTTCACCTTGCCCAGGACCCAATCCTGGGGCAGCTGCGCTCCTGGCTTTTTGCCTGCAGGACAGAGGGGCCTGGAGTGGCCTGGCCCTGCCGTGGGCAGCATGGTGTGGGCATGCAGGTGAGGCCTGCCTGAGGTGCCCAACCCCCTTTCTGCCAGCTGACACCTCCTAGTTCAGTGATGTGTCTTCCTGTCTGGCATGTGAAGGGCTCTGCAGCTGTGGGGGCTGGACTGTGAGGACACAGGGAGCCTGGGAAAAGGGTTGGTGAAGGGTCCCCGTGGCTACAAGCCATGTGAAGAGGGGCAGGGCCAGGCTCCTATTTAAGCTATTGTGGGCCCAGGGGTCTCCTTGTCCAGGATGGAAAGCCTTGGAGCATGAGGCACAGGCCCCTCCCCCTCAGCCAGCCAAAGCCTCGAGGGCCGGTCACAGCCTGGACAAGCTCAGTCCCCTCCAAAGGTGCTGCCCGACACCGGGCCTCGCACGCCGCATCCCTCCCCAGTTCTACCCTGGGATCCTCACACACCCACACAGGCAAGGGGAGAAGCCAGGGCACCCCTAGGCTTGGCAGAGCAGGGGATCCCCACTATGTCATCTTTGTTCGGTCCCTCCTGGGGGAACCAGGGGCCTGTGGGTGAAGGAAGTTAACCCTGGAAGGGCCTGGGGACATCTCTGGACCAGCCTCACCCTGGCTTTGATCTTTGTTCCAGGGCCCAGACAGACCACTCTGTTCCCACACCTGGCTCAAGGTGGGACGGAGACCTTCCCAGCCTTCCCAGAGCTAACCCAGAGGAGTGCACAGGGTAGGTAGGCAGAGGGTTCAGGGGCCGCTTCCAATGGGGTGAGGCTGAGGAAAGGGTGCTGTGAGCTGAGCAAGGACTCCGATCCATTTCTGCTCATCTGCCCCCAGAGCCGCAGGGAATGCTGGACCCACCTGAGCTGGGGGCATATGGGGCTCAGCACTGCACTGTGGCGCCCAATGGGAAGCCCCTGCTCTCTTCCGCCTCTCCCTGACCTTGAGGATTGGATCCTTGGGGAGCCTTGGGTGAGGTCCCCTCCCAGGAAATACTGGGCTGACACACTGCGGGCCCATTTTGAGGTGGCTGTGAGGGGGTGCAGGTGAGTGTACTTGGGGTTCCTTCAAGGCCAGTCCCAGCAGGTCACCTGCGGACAGCCCTGGGCAGGTGCCCCTCCCTGTCCTGGAACACCATTCTTCCCCATCGCCCCGGAGGACCAGGCCCAGGCAAGGCTGGGGATCACGACTGTTTATTGCCCCATCCCTGTCAGTACCCAGCTGAGCCAACCCAGGACCAATGGGGCTCCACAACCAGGTGTCCCCCCGACACGGGGCCCGCGCATCCCTGGTGGCCTGGGCCCCCACCAGGAAGCTGCACCACAATGATGACGGTGGACTTGTTCCTGATCTGATAGTCCTGGAGCTTTTTCTCCGGGTCCAGGCGGTAGTTGGCAAACATCAAAAGGAAATCCATGGTGTCTGGGGCAGAGAGCAGGCGCGTCAGCCTGGGCCTGGCCTCCGAATCCCCGCAGGGCCCTGGCTGGGGGAGGGATCCCAGCATATTCCCCAAGAGAGGTGAGGGGACAGTGTTTTGGGGGTCTGCACTCTCAGTTCCTTTCTTGGGGCATTTCACCTGCTGGGGTGAGCTCCGTACCCTGTCAGTTTGCTGGGCTTATACCCACATCTTGTCTGAATTTAGGGGGCAAAGGGAGCACAGAGGAGGGGCTCAGAGAAGGCAGAAATCAGGGGCAGGCCCTCCCTGGGATGGAGGAGCCCTGAGTGCAAGCATGGGGCCTCTCCTTGTCCAACAAGGACGCCAAGGAGGTTGGCCGCTGCCGAACCCCCAAACCTCCACATCCAGAGACGGAAATGGAGACTCCGCCAGGAGTTACGGAGTGCCACCCTGCTGGGCACAGACCCCAGAGTGAGGAACCGCAGGACCCGCAGCAAAGCCCCCAGGCCTCATGTCCACCCCAAGCCCTGGATGGGGACCCAGCCATCCCCTCCCCATTCATAGCCCTAGGGGAGACCCAGAGCCCTGCCCAGGACTCCTCACCTGGAGTCGAGCCCACCCCCCTGCTCACCTGCCTTCAGCACAGCCTTGGACACCAACTTCATCAGCCACTTCACAGTCATGGTATTGAATTCCTCCTCAGAACTGGCCACATCCAGCACCGTGTTCTTGCCCATGACACCGTGTACCACCAGCTGGTACATCATCTTCCTCCCGGAGCTGACAACGGGCAGACAGGACGGCCTGCAGCTGCAGCTGCTGCTGCTCTGGGGGCCCCTCCTGCCCCTCCCCTCCTTCCTCCCCAGGCGCCTCCTCTCTTTCCTCCTCAGGGCCCTCCCCTCCTCCCTCCCCTCCCATCCTCCTTCCCCTCCCCTCGTCCTTCCCTGCCCCTCCTCCTTCCCCGCCCCTCCTCCTCTTTTGCTTCCTCCCTAAGCCCTTCTCCCTCCCTGATCCCCTGCCCTTGGGGATTTCTACTTTTCCTGCCTTCCCCAGGCAGCCTTGGCTCCCTAAGAGTTTGGCTGAGAAAGGGCTGCGCCTGCTCAAGCTGCTAGGGCTCTCGGAGGGCGCGTGTGTCCCTGTGCACCTTTGTGTGTGTGACACGTATTGGAGGGCGTGTGTGTCCCTGTGCACCTTGGCGTGTGTGACACACGTCAGAGGGTCTGTGTGTCCCTGTGCACCTTTGTGTGTCCCTGTGCACCTTTGTGTGTGTGACACACGTGTTGGAGGGTGTGCATGTCCCTGTGCACCTTTGCATGTGTGACACGTGAGTGTGCATGTCCCCGTGTGGTGAGGATCTGCAGATTCTGTGTGTGTGCATTCCTGTGTGTCCTGGTGTCTTGTGTCCCTCCGTGCATGTGTGGTGTGAGCGCGTGTCCCTGTGTCTCTGTCTGCATGTGTCCCTCTGCGTGTGTGTGGTGCGAGCATGTGTGTCCCTGTGTCCCCGTTTATCCATGTGTTCCTCCACGTGTGTGGCATGAGTGCATGTCCGTGTCTCCATCTATCTGCCTGTGTCCCTCCGCATGTGTGTGGTGTGAGCATGCGGGTCCCCGTGTCTCCGTCTCTCTGTGTGTGTCCCTCCACGTCTCTGTCCTTGTGTCTCCATCTCTCTGCATGTGTCCCTCCATGTGTGTGTGGCATGAGCGTGCGTGTCCCCATGTCTCTGTCCATATGTGTCCCTCCATGTGTGTGTGGTGTGAGTGTGTGTATCCCCGTGTCTCCATCTGTGTGTATCCCTCGTGTGTGTGTGGCATGAGCGTGTGTGGCATGTGCATGCGTGTCCCCATGTCTCCATCTGTGTGTGTTCCTCCACGTGTGTGTAGCGTGAGCATGCATGTCCCTGTGTCTCTGTCTGTGTGTCCCTCCATGTGTGTGGAGTGTGCGTGTCCCCGTGTCTCCATCTGTGTGTGTCCCTCTGCATGTGAGTGGCATGAGCATGTGGGTCCCCGTGTCTCCATCTGTGTGTGTCCCTCCGTGTGTGTGTGGTGTGAGCGTGCGGGTCCCTGTGTCTCTGTGTGTGTCCCTCCGTGTGTGTGTGGTGTGAGCGTGCGGGTCCCTGTGTGGTGGGGTCTGAACCCATCTGGATGTGAGCTCTCCTGTCCTAGCTGCCCCCAGTGCAGGTGACCAAGGAGGATGGTGCCGTCTACCTCCTCCACCCTCAGGAGCAGGTCATGTGAGGAAGGTTGGGGGGCTGGGGACCCCTTCCTTCCTTCCTCCTTCTCTGCAGATTCCCAGCTGTGCTGCAGAAAGCCTGTCTGGGCAGGATCCTCACCGGGGACAAAGCCCCTCCTCCCATTGCAGACTCCTCAGCCCTGCACCGCCTCTCCATCCCTCCTCCCATCGCGGACTCCTCAGCCCTGCACCGCCTCTCGGTCCATCTCGGATTCTGGTTAAGCCATGGTGGACAGCTCTGTGTGGGCTTAGACACCGCACGGGAGCCTGCTCGTCCACTGACAATAGTTCCTAGGGGGAGGGTGTCGCAGCCCTGGGTCCTCAGCCCTGGAAGCTGAGTCTGCGGGACGTGCTCCGTGTTCTGGGCTCCCGTGTCTGCAGATGCTCCCAGAAGCTGACCCTCCTAAAGCTCCTTCTCAAAGCCTTTGCCCCTCCCTGGTGGCACCTCAATCTTCACTCCTCCCCTTCAGCCAATGGCAGACAAAGTCAGGCCACAGAACACAGATCTGTGATGTGCAGATCTTAACACTGGTCCAAAATCTGCTTTTTCAGAAACTTTCTGGGTATAAAGTCCATAGCTGGACTGGGGCTGTGCAGCTGGATCCTTTGCTGCAGGATGCACCATGGAATCTTTCCACCAGACACCCGTGGGGCGGGCGCTCACCAGAAACAAAACCACCCCTCATGCCTGCCGGGCCCTGAGGCCAGGGGTCTGCGTCGGCGGCCAGCAGCCTCTTCTGTAAAGGGCCGGTCGGTGAACGTCCTCAGCCTCCTCCGTGAGGTGCCCACGCTGTCGGCGGAGGGTGGAGGCAGCCGCAGACACTGGAGGATGACGCGGACGGAGGCCAGGCTGAGCTCCCGTGACTCCGTTTATGGAAATAGGCAGTGCCCATCTGGCTGTGGTTTGAGACCCCGGCTCTGCACATCCCAACCCAGGAAGGGCTGCCTTGGACACTCTTCCCGGCTGCCCTGCATGGGCTGTAGTGTTTATGGAAGCGCGGCAAGAATCTCTGGCCAAAGCCCCGGCTCCCACTTGGCTAGAGGAAGAGGCAGCTGGAGTCCTGTGCGTGTCCCTGACAGCTCGGGCCCGGGAGTGGAGGAGGGAGAATGGCTGGGCTTCCAGGGCAGACGCAGCACCCCCTGAAGAGGTGGCCCATGAGGAGCACAGGGGCCTTTGGGGTGCGTCGTTCCTCCTGGAGCCAGCGGCCCCTGGTCCCGAGCGAGCGTCCTCTGAGCAGAGGCTCTGGCTCCTGCAGTGGGTGCACATGACGTCCCGCCCACTCCTATCCTGAGCAGAGCTGCTGCCCGTGGTGGCACGGGGCCTCCTGTCACACCCTGTCTTCAAGAACCGAGTTTTATTGACAGAGCTGGAAGCTTCGCCGTAGCGGACTTGGTTCTTGCAGGACCAAGGCCAGCTTTTCTAAGCAGAGCAGAGCATGGCCATGATTCTGCTTCATGAGCTAAGGCTTCTTTCCACTGAGTGATTTTCCCCACATCAGAGTTCTTGAGCGGCCAGAATTCCGGATGGCAGCTGTGAAACTGCCATCCCAGAGGACACCCAGGAGGCCATACCGTGGGAGCACCAGCAGCACGGCCTGAAAGAGGTGCCGATTCAGATGGAGAAGACCCCGCGAGAACAGCCAGGGGCGGTCGGGATGAGGCTGTGCAATCTCTTGAGTTTCCTAGTAAAGCCAGGGACACCTCTGCCGAGGCAGCTCGTGACTGAGTTTCCCAGTGAAGCCACTCAAAAACAGCCACAGCCCAGTCAGCAGGGGGCCAGGAGCCTCTCCCATCCTGGGCAGAGGGAAGGCGGGGCAGTTCACAGGGACCCAAAGCCAAGACTAAGCCCTTGTAAGGATTTGGGGTGGCGGCTAGGCTGGTGGGGGCCCCTTCTGAGCTCCTCCCTATGGGACCTGCAGCCTTTTCTTCCTGGGGACACAGCTCCCAGGCACAGCATTTGTGCTGGACTAGAGATCCTGAACCTGTCCCACAACCTGGCCATGGCCCCATTTTTAGGAAAACAAAATGAACCCGTAGTGAAGGGCATCATGAGATCTGCACAGCGCAGCCCCGGCCTTTCTGGGAGGCTCCCGGTAAGAGGGATGCGAGGTCTGGAGAAAGTGCACATGGTCATGGCCTCCAGGGGTCTGGGCCAGGCAGGGGTCAGAGGAAGCTGTAAGTTCTTCCTTCGAGTGAAAATGTGGAAGCTTTCAATAAGGAGAGGAAAATAATCCTATGCTGAGATAAAGATTAAAGAATGAAACTTCTATCTGGGAAGCTGTGAACACTGTATTATTATTATAATGGTTCTGTTTTATTACTGTTGTCAATCTCCTACTGTATCCAATTTATAAATTAAAATTGATCACAGGTGTGTACGTATAGGAAAAAACATAGTGTCTACAGGGTTTGGTACTGTCTGCAGTTTCAGGCACCCACTGTGGGTCTCGGAACGTGTCCCCTGCAGGTAAGTGGGAGCTCCTTAGTGTCTACAGGGTTCAGTACTGTCTGCAGGTTCAGGCACCCACCGTGGGTCTCGGAGCGTGTCCCCTGCGGAGGCTTCTTAGTGTCTATAGGGTTTGGTACTGTCTGTAGTTTCAGGCACCCACTGTGTGTCTCCGAGCGTCTCCCCTGCAGGTAAGCAAGGGCTCCTGTATTGACATGTTGTGCCACAGTCAACCTTCCATTTCCCTGGGTTCCCTGTCCTTAGATTCAACCGGCCTCCGAGACAAAATATTCAGGAAAAAAAGCTAGCAATACAATGATAAATAATAGAAGTAAAAAACAACACAGTGTAACGACCACGTATGGAGCATTTACATTGTATCGGGCATGATAAGTAATCCGGGGGATTTAAAGCAGAGGGCGCGCTTAGGTCATATGCAAACGCAACACCATTTCATAGGAAGAACCTGAGCACCTGTGGGTTTTGGTGTCCTCAGGGGGTCCTGGAACAAGTGTCCTGTGGATCCGAGGGATGACTGTATACAAAGAGTGTGTAGCACACAAGTTACAGAAAATAACAATACGTGCAACGCCCTTATGCGAAATTCCATGTGGCCATCGATCCTCTTAGGATGCTTCAGTTGGTTTTTGCCAAACTCTTGTGCCCTCGGCCAACCTGTGGTTTCGAGTGACCCAGGTCCTGACAAAATCAGACGGCCACTGGGAACCTCAGTCATGAGCTGCCCCAGCAGAGGCGTTGCTGGCTTCACTGGGAACCTCAGGCACGAGCTGCCTCCCTTCCTGAAGTCACAATCCACACAGAGACGATCACAGAGCAGAAGGTCACGGCCTGGTCTGCAGCACCTGTGGGTTTCCAGCTGCCCAGGGGCCTCACCTGTGCCACCGGGGCGGGGAGAGGGGGGCAGTGCCTGCCCGTAGCATTTCTACCATACAGCGACAACAGACGTAAGCGACCCCCAAAAATAGTTGTAAAAAACAATTAGGAAGTCTTGAGTTTAGGTAATTATTACCTTAATAGGTATTGAAGTACCTATTTTATTAAGTACCTATTTTATTAAGATTTATTTAAGTACAAATTTCTGTGATTTGTTCGCAGTGGCTGTGTTTAATGACTGGCCTTCCACATCTTTGAACGTTTAGCAGCGGATCCCTTGAGTGGGTGGGACAGGGAAGACCCTCTGCTTCCCAGAGAGGGCGAGGAGCAGATTTGCTGTGTCTTTTGTTCACTCCTGCACAGGTGTTTGCTCCCGGGGCACCTATATGTGAGGAGTTGTAGAGTGGAGATGCCCCATGCTAGGCCACCTGTTTCCATCCCCCGTGCAGGCCCAGGTCAGTTACCGAGGGGAAGCTCTTGGGCTCACTTTGGGGTCACAGCTCTGAGGGGGACAAGCTGCCCCGGAGGCCAGAGTAGAGTGGAAGCAGCCACCAGCATGGCACCCATGAGGGGCGATGCTCAGGACAGTGGCCCGAGACCCTGGGGTCTGCCTTCAGCACGTGGAAAGTCCCTCCACTGTCAACCCGGGTGGAGTCATGCAGGAAATGGGGCTCCGCGCCTTCCTGAGTGCCCACCTGAACCTGGAGTGGGTTGGATGGTAGCGCCAGTGCTCCTCTGTCCGGGTGCGGGGTTCTGCCCCGTCCCAGTGTGTCTCTGGGCAGGGTTATCAGGGCCACCCTGTGCCCTGGAGTTCAGAGCCTTCTGAGGCTGACCTGTCCCTCCTCATGGTCCAGCCCTCATCCTGACTATTCTCCTGGTCTGCAGAGATCTTCCTGTCCTCATGTCCACTGTCTGTCTGCAGTTGCTTGGAGAAGGTAGGTTCCATCCTCATGTGAACAGCGGACAGTGCGTGAGAGGAGAGCCCTGGGGACCCCACCCTGCTCTGCCCAGCCTCCCCACCAAGCACCCCTTGTTCCGCCTCTAGTTCTGCTGGGCTGGAGCTCCCTGGGTGGGAGTCTGGCCTGGGACTGGCCCTAGACAGCTTCAGGATAGGAAGCCTTCCGCCCTGGGGGCTGCAAGGGTCCCCGAAGGCAACGTCCAGGCTGGCAGGGTAGTGGGTGCTGGAGACAGACCTGGGGAAGTGGCTAGGGCTGGGGGTGAGCCAGTGGTGGGGGCCAGGAAGCGAGGTCAGGCTCGGGCTGGAGACGTAGGTGGCAGCTGCTTCACCAAAGCAGGACGCTGTGAGGAAAGAGGGGGACCATTATTCCTAAAGAAACAACAGCTAGATTTAGAAAATCTCCACCAGGAGGGAAGCCCTAAGCTCTGTACTTTGTATTAATAAACAGTGTCTGTGAAATCCAAGATATTCTAAAACATCTTCTAAGCAGGAATAATTCCTGCATTTCATGGTGAGGGGTTCAGTGACTTTTGAGAGGTCACACAGCGGTCACCAGCAGCGCGATCTGGACTGAGGGGACCTGGACCCCCTCAGCGCCTGGCCCAGACTCCCCTATCTGAGTGTGGGCTGCTCAGCGCCCTGGGCTGAGCCTCAGTTGCTGGCCCGGGAAGCCCCACCTTGCCCCCAGCCTATGGTGGGCCGGCTCCAGGCAGGCCCGGTGGGATTCTGTGGAGACCCCCCTCCCTGTCCATCTCTATCAACCACCCCCGGCTCCTCCTGGAGCTTCCCCCTCGGAATCCAGCTGGAATCCAAGCCCCAAACACCCTCGGTTTTCAGGGTCGTGCTCTCCAGCTGGAAGGGCCAGGGGAGGGCTCTGGGACGGGACACACTGGGGACTCCCGAGGCAGGGGCATGAATGCCATCCTGGCACTCTAGACTGGGGACTGCCAAGGCAGGGGCGTGAATGCCATCCTGGCACTCTAGACTGGGGACTGCCAAGGCAGGGCATGAATGCCATCTGGTCACTCTTCATCTCTTTCCAGGGACCAAGGTCCCCATGGCCGCTGGCTGGACACTGAGCCTGGTGTGGTGTGGCACTGCCAGGGCTGTCTCTCCCCTGGGGCTTTCCCACCGCTGGTCTTGCTCCGAGGGAGGCAGAGGCCAGGTGGACGTCCCGCCTGAGGACGGTGGCCAGTAATCCTTCTGCTGTTGCCTCGCCTGTGGCCATATCAGGCTCTCCCCGTCTCTCAAGCCTCCAGGCCTCTGCTCTGGGGTGCACAGAAGTGGGCAGAGGCTGTCACAGCGTGCACAGGGCAAGATGGTGCAGGGGCTGTGGGTGACAGGGAGGGCATGATTCTGGCCACCCCATGTGGAGGAGGCTGGATGTGTGGAGGTCCCAGGTCTGAGTTGACTCAGGACCCCAGAGAGGGCATCCAACTGGGCTGCTTGGGGTGTCTCTTCCTGGGGGCCTGTCATGGAGCAGGAGCTGGGGTGGCTTTCACTCCATCCACTCTTGAGCCAAGACCCACAAGCGTCTGGCTGGGGCAGGGCCAAACCTGCAGATGTGGTGGCCTTGGCCACAGGCAGTGCCCTGACTCACCTTGAAGCCTGGCACCTCCCCTCCTCCATCTCTGAGGGGCAGCCTTCTCTGGTGGTCATGGCCTCCACTCCTCCTTCTCTGGCTGCCACGGCCTCCCCTCTTCCTTCTTTGGTGGCCACGGCCTCTCCTCCTCTTTCTCTGGTGGCCACAGCCTCTGCTCCTCCTTCTCTAGCTGCCATGGTCTGTCTTCCTCCTTTGGTGGCCACAGCCTCCACTCCTCCTTCTCTGGCTGCCATGGCCTGTCTTCCTCCTTTGGTGGCCACAGCCTCCACTCCTCCTTCTCTGGCTGCCATGGTCTCTCCTCCTGCTTTGGTGGCCATGGCCTCCGCTCCTCCTTCTCTGGCTGCCATGGCCTCTGCTCCTCCTTCTCTGGCTGCCATGGCCTCCGCTCCTCTTTCTCTGGCTGCCACGGCCTCCACTTCTCCTTCTCTGGCTGCCATGGCCTCCGCTCCTCCTTCTCTGGCTGCCATGGCCTCCGCTCCTCTTTCTCTGGCTGCCACGGCCTCCACTCCTCCTTCTCTGGCTGCCATGGCCTCCGCTCCTCCTTCTCTGGCTGCCATGGCCTCCGCTCCTCTTTCTCTGGCTGCCACGGCCTCCGCTCCTCCTTCTCTGGCTGCCATGGCCTCCGCTCCTCCTTCTCTGGTGGCCATGGCCTCCGCTCCTCCTTCTCTGGTGGCCATGGCCTCCGCTCCTCCTTCTCTGGCTGCCATGGTCTCTCCTCCTCCTTTGGTGGCCACAGCCTCCCCTTTTCTTTCTCTGTCAGTCCCAGCCTCCACTCCTCTGTCTCTGAAGAGCCAGCCCCCTTCTCTGGCAGCCACGACCTCCCCTCCTCCTTCTCTGGAGGCCACTGCCTCCAATCCTCCGTCTCTGAGGAGCTGGCCCCCTTCTTTGGCAACCTCCACTCCTCTTTCTCTGGTGGCCATGACTTCTGCTTCTCTGTCTCTGAGGAGCTGGACTCCTTCTCTGGCAGCCTCTGCTCCTCCATCTTTGCTCCTGAGGCCTGCAGAGCAAGGGGTGGACACCCAGGCTGAGCTGGTTGGACAGAGCCCTCGCTCATGTCCTATGGGCCCTGTGGACCCTGTGGGCAGCCCTCACCTCGCTGGCACCCCCACCTCAATCCTATACCACCTGTACACAGGGCCCCGGACACCAGGCAACACGGAAGGGCTGGGGGCCACAGAGGTCCCAGCCCTGGGTCCCTCAGACCCAACTCCCAGCCCTCAGGTCCAGCCATCCACCCCACCCTTCCAGGTCCCATCTTGGGATCAGCCCCAGCACCTCCAGTGAGCCAGGCAGAGACTGGGGCCGTCTTGGGGCTGCCCCAGACCCTCACCTCAGGCCTAGCCCTGGGAAGTTTCCTCCCGAACTCAAGGGGTGGAATCGCGCCCACTCTTCTCCAGCCCCACCAGGCCCCGGGCAAGTCCCTGCCGGCTCCCAGGTGCACAGTCCCTGCTGCCCCTGGGCCCAGCCGGGGCCTCCTCTGGCCTCTCCATGAGCCCCTCCCAGCCTTGCTCCTGCTCATCTGAGGGTCTCAGCCCCTTCAGTCTTGGCTGTCACCACCATTCCTCCACCCCAACCCTCCTCCTGCTGTCGGCCTCAGGCCCAACGCCCACCTCGGGAGCCCCTTTGACCACCTGGCTCGCTGGTGTCTGAGCCTTGCATTTCCTCCAGGACAGCAGGCTGGCCTGTTGGCCGTGTGAGACATTGTGGGATCGGGTGCCACGGACCCTTAAGGTCAGCTCCATGGGGCAGGGACAGGGCCTCTCCCTCAGGGTGAGGACCCCTGTGCTGGAAGGAGTAGGGCATGGCGGTGGCTGGGATGCATCAGTGTGAGGTGGTGAGTGACCTGGAGTTGGGGCTGACCGCTCAGTCCCTGCAGAGTCAGCAGCCATCAGGGAGGGAAATGGCCCCAGTCTCAGGGCATGGGTCAGGCGTCACTTACGTGTCTTTCTAGGCTGTGCCGGGCCCTGCACAGGGTGGGACAGGGCTTGGTCTTCAGCTACCGAGCTCCTCATTCCCATGGCAGGGAGTTCCTCTTCGGGGCTACACTGGGGGCCGCAGGGCAGGCCTCGGGCCTCCCCCTGCTCCCCTGGTGGAGGTGCTTTAGGGCCCTCCTCATCCACGTGCTCTGAGGCTCTGCCTCTGTCCCCAAGGCCAGGCTCCATGTCCCTCCTGAAACATAAGCCAGGAGGTTAATGGAACAAAGTGGACTCTCGCCTGAGCAGAGGGAAGCCCCTGAGGCCCTGCTGGGGTGGGGACCCCAGAACCTCAGCTCACCAGACGGTTGGGCTGCAGGAGGGCAGAGCCCCTGGGTCTCTGCAGTGACGAGGGCAGGTGCGGGCTGCCCAGCTCAGCCCCTCCATTCCCAAGCACAGCAAGCCCCAGACAGGGGAGGAAGGGCCTGTCCCAGGTTCCTCGGAGGTTTGCAGCTCCATTGACAGGGATTCAGCAATATGTGTGCTTAAATATAATCTAACGAGCTCTGTTTTTCAACCAGCAAACTGGATGGATTTCTGAGTGGGAGGCGGCTGACACAGTCACACTCCTCTCTTCCACCCTATCCAGTGCTGTGTCCTGGCCTTCCCTCCTGTCCCAACCTCGGCAGCTACAGCGCTTTCTGCTTCCCTCATGCCCCACTCTGTTGCTGGACGTCCAGGAGTTTATTTTTCAGCAGGTCGGCTACAAGGTGGCCTGCGGTGCTCTGCGAGGGGCCCCAGCGTCACCGCAAGCTCCGGGGCAGCTGTCCTCTGCAGGCGGGGCCAGGGCAGCTGGGGGACAAGGCTGGCTCCCTAGCATCCTCCCGGAGGAAGCGTCCAGGAGAGAAAGGGCCTAATGGTGGTCACAGCCCGAATTCCCACATTGAACAGGGAGTGGGGGATGGGGGCATGGAAGGAATCCAACCCTCAGAGACAGAACCCCCCGGGCATCAGCTCAGGGACAGGGTGCTCCCGGGGGCAACCAATGTTCTGCCTAACACACATCAGAAAATGTGATCAAGGATGCAGGAGAGGCCACAGAGGTCAGTGCCCTGAGGACAGTCACAACCCCTTGCTCAGATTCAAGTCAAATCGCAGACCCAGAACCTAGAGATTGAAGGAGAGGGAGAGCACAAGTCCACTGGAGAGGGAGAATATGTATCCCACGGAGAGAGAGAACACGCGTCCTATGGAGAGAGAGAACACACATCCCATGGAGAGGGAGAGCACATGTCCCACCGAGAGGGAGAACATGCATCCCATGGAGAGGGAGAGCACATGTCCCACGGAGAGGGAGAACATGCATCCCATGGAGAGGGAGAACACACATACCATGGAGAGGAAGAACACGTGGCCCATGGAGAGAGAACATGCGGCCCATGGAGAGAGAGAATACACAGCCAACGGAGAGAGAGAACATGCATCCCATGGAGACAGAGAACACGCGGCTCCCATGTGCTTCCCTCCCCCGCCATGAGCAGGGTTTGTGGGGCAGGGAACCCCTGCAGTGCCCTGAGGCAGCGTCCTGGCCCGTGTTCTCTGGGTGCCTGGACCGATACTGGACTTTCCTCCAGTTCTGGAAAGCAGCCGTGGCATGACTTCCTGAGTAGCTAGCCGGACTCTAGCTGAGGTTCCCAGGGCTGCGGGATAAGAGCTATCGTAGGAAAGGCCAAGTGGGCGCCCCTGGCCCGGTGGATCTCCTGCTAAGTCAGTGATTCGACAACAGCATCACATCTCAGGGGAACACCAGGGATTAGCTCCCCCTTCAAAGCCTTGAGGGCAGGCACGGAGACCCTAACCAATCCCCATTCAACGTCCTAAGCTCGCCCCTGTCTGGACTGGATCCAGCCACTGCCAATTTAACCAAGCAGGAGCCCAGTGCTAGCTGTCCTGCTGGGTGGGATGCCTTCACTGGGTCAGATGAACACGGTCTCGCATTCGTGGCTTGAAGCCACTGCCTCAGCAAACACATCCTTTTCTCTAACATCAGGGAAGGTTGTCAGAGGCAGCATACTGCACAAGGGACAGATCTCAGTGCACAGACACAGGCCTTCCCCAGGCTGAGTTGGTTCTGTTCTGTCATGAGGGAGTCTAGAACATGTGGAGTATTTGCACGTTCTGCAGAGTATCACATTGGCCCACGATCTTGATAACTCTGTGTTCATCAGACTTGCTAGTAAGAAGCAGGAAGTACTCTGGATGCATTGGAAAAGGCCCCCTAGAAGGTGAGGAGATAAACCCCACATAGAGCCAGGGGTGGCCACATCAGTGCAGTTGCACCCCAGGGCTCCAGTGCTTGTTGGGATATTCCCTCTGGAGTAACCAATGCCGTGACTGTGCTGTCTGCTCCCCTTCCCCTGAGAAAGGAACACAATGCTTGGTGAATCGATTTGGGCTTTGAAGGCAGCACAGGTCACACTTGGGCAGGCTTCTAGGACCTACTTGTCAAACGCTGCCAGAGGCTAGTAGCTTTCTAGCACTGGGCCCAGTGCTAGAAAGGAGTCTGCAGCAGCTCTAGGCTGCAGTAAAAGTAACCTTGCAGTTTGGGCCCTATGACCTGGCAGATCTCACGGTGGACAGTGAAGCCACCAGGAGCCTCAGGCAAGTCCCACCTGGAGAGTCACAGAGCAGCTCCCTGAGGCTCTTGAGGAAGGCTGTGTGTGGCCAGTAGCCTAGCTGCATGGCCACGGTTTGGAAGAGCAGGATGGAAAGATCTGGAAAAGAAAGCCTGGAGAAAAGAATGGACCTATGGGAGAGGGTGCAATGTGTGCCAACAGAGATACAATCTACCAAGTTAAAATGATGGCTCAGCCAACGGGGGTCTGTCCTTGGCCACTCCAGTTCCTGAGCAATGGGTTTGCAAACAGAATATCCAAGACAGAAAATGGGGGCTTTGCCTGGGGGAGAAGCAGGGGTTCCCTCTCACCAAAGTGGCTCCAGCTCCTTCTGCTGCCTGTCTGCCCTGCCTGTGGGACTGGCACTGAGCCCCTGGCACAGTGCTAAGCCTGGGAAACACAGAGAAGACCAACCACCCATTGGATGGAAGTTGATGGCATCAGATCTCTTCCACCGGGAGAAGATAAAACACATTTCATCCTGTCAGGGATTGACATAAAGTCCAGGTATGAGTTTTTCTTTCTCACCCTCAGGGCCTCTGCCAGCACCACTGAGGCCTCACAGAGTGGCAGACCAGCTGGCCAACATGGGAGCCTGTGTGTCATCATCGAGGCTTCTGGGGAGACCTCTGGGAGTGCTTATTCATGGTGGAAGGCAAAGCAGGAGCAGGCGCATCACATGGTGAGAGCAAACAAAAGGGCGGGAAGTGCCAGGCCCTTTTAAACAACCAGCCCTCCATGAGCTACCAGCACGAGAACCCACTTGTTACTGTAGGAGGCCACCAAGCCATTCATGAAGGATCTGGCCCCAAGACCCAAACACCTCCTACGAGGCCCACCTCCAATGCCGGAGATTATATTTCAACCTGAGATTTGGAGGGGACAAATATCCCAACCATATCAGGGGGCATTCATGTAAGTGGCAGAGGAAAGAGAAGAATTCTGGGTCCATCCCCAGAGATAACTGCAACAAGGTGGGTACAGTCAGAGGTTTTTATTAACTATCCTCGTATAAGTTTTTCCAGGAGGATATGAAACCATGGAATGCTGATGAAGGTGTGGCTGCATTGCTGTAGGGAGCACCTGAGTGGCCTGGGGGATGGACTGGAATGGGTGCCGTGGTGTCCTACCAGATACCTTTCTCCACGCTGGTGCCTGCATCCTACACCTGCTGGGAGTGTTTGCTGCTAAGTGCTCAGAATCAGAGCTGCTGACTTCTCCAGACCCATGCCTTTGGCCAATAGGGGCTTCCACATCCCCAAAGCCATGCCCCCATGCACTTCCATGTCTGATGGGAGTACAAATTGCTGATGCCTTTTCATCCAGGCAAGTTCACCTCTGTTGCCCAATTTGTGCTGCAGACATTTTCCATGGGGCCAGCCTCTCAAGAACTTCCTCAATCAACCACTTACATCTCCAACTCTACTTTTAAGAAATATGAGCTAAGATACCCTGACAATTTTGACATCCTTATTTTTTCAACTAAGTTGACAGTTAACCAATATCTCTACTCTCCCCATAAAACAAAAGGATGGCTTAGAGGACTTTCACTCCAATCTCCTACTTGCTATTTAGATTTTTGAGATGTGTCATATTTTTAGTTTTGTTCTAATATTCTCCAGATTAGCCATTATCATTAGGTCTTTTTATACAATCCATGTTTAATTATTGTGTTACATTTTTGCTAGTTTATTTGAAAATCACTGTTTTTGCACTTCAGCTCTTCCTCCTAGACTTGATGTACATATTTCTGGAAATCAGCCTTAAGTTGTTTTATACAAGTGCTACTAGTGGTCAACTCTCTAACCCTTTGCTTGCCCGAAATAACCTGACTACGAGAGAGTTTATCTGGGTATAGAATTAGAGTCTGCCAGTTAAGAAGACATTACATTGTCTTCTACCTTACCCTTAGGATGTCTACTTTAACATAATTGTTCCTTTCAGTGGAATATTCTTTCCTCTCTAGTTGCTTTTAGACTTTTCTCAGGTAAGTCTAGGTATAGATTTAGTGTTGTGGGAAGTCAGGGACCCTGAACAGAGGGACTGGCTGGAGCCACAGCAGAGGAACATAAATTGTGAAGATTTCATTTTAATACGGACATTTATCAGTTCCCAAATAATACTTTTATAATTTCTTATGCCTGTCTTTACTTTAATCTCTTAATTCTGTTATCTTCATAAGCTGAGGATGTATGTCAGCTCAGGACCACTGTGATAATTGTGTTAACTGTACAAATTGATTGTAAAACATGTGTGTTTGAACAATATGAAATCAGTGCACCTTGAAAAAGAACAGAATAACAGCGATTTTTATGGAAGGAGGGAAGACAACCATAAGGTCTGACTGCCTGCGGGGTTGGGCAAAATGAGCCACATTTTTCTTCTTGCAGAGAGCCTATCACCAGACGTGCAAGTAGAAGAGATATCGCTAAATTCTTTTCCTAGCAAGGAATATTAATATTAAGACCCTGGGGAAGGAATGCATTCCTGGGGGAAGGTCTATAAATAAATGGCCACTCTGGGAATGTCTGTCTTACGTAGTTGAGATAAGCACTGAGATATGCCCTGGTCTCCTGCAGTACCCTCAGGCTTACTAGGGTGGGGGAAAAACTCTGCCTTGGTAAATTTGTGGTCAGACTGGTTCTCTGCTCTCAAACCCTGTTTTCTGTTGTTTAAGATGTTTATCAAGACAATACATGCACCGCTGAACATAGACTCTTATCAGTAGTCCTGCTTTTGCCCTTTGCCCTGTGATCTTTGTTAGACCCTTGTCAGTGGTTCTGCTTTTGCCCTTTGCCTTGCGATCTTTGTTAGACCCTTATTAGTAGTTCTGCTTTTTGCCCTTTGAAGCATCTTTGTACCTACTCCCTGTTCTTACCCCCCTTCCCCTTTTGAAACCCTTAATAAAAACTTGCTGGTCTGAGACTCAGGCGGGCATCACAGTCCTACTGATACGTGATGTCACCCCCGGCGGCCCAGCTGTAAAATTCCTCTCTTTGCACTGTCTCTCTTTATTTCTCAGCCAGCCAACACTTAAGGAAAATAGAAAGAACCTACGTTGAAATATTGGGGGTGGGTTCCCCCAGTAATTTAGGTTTGGTTATCTGGCTTAAACCTTGCTGGGGGCTCATGCCTTTCATTGGTTTTGGAAAATTCTCACTTATTATCTCCTTGAGTTTTGTTTTCCCCTCGTGATCTCTGTTCTCCCTTTTTGCCAGTCCTGTTGGAAATTTCTAACTTCTTCTGGAAGGTCACTCAGACCTTTTGATTCTATTCTCCATGCCCTCTTTGAAAACCATTCTTTCACATCTTTTTATCTTCTGGTAAAATACATGCAAAAGCTTTCCCAAGATCCATCTTCTAATCCGAGAAATATCTATTCTCTTATTTCTAAATGCTGTGTAACACAGTGAATGCAATTAAAATATCAATGACTATGTTTTTGTTTCTACAGATTCCTTTTTTTTTTTTTTTTTTGTGAGACAGAGTATCGCTGTGTCACCCAGACTGGAGTACAGTGGTGTGATCTCAGCTCACTGTAACCTCCACCTCCCAGGTTCAAGTGATTCTCGTGCCACAAAGGCATGCGCCACCATGCCTGGCTAATTTTTGTATTTTCAATAGAGATGGGGTTTCACCATGTTGGCCAGGCTGATCTTGAACTCCTGGCCTCAAGTGATCCAGCTGCCTTGGCCTCCAAAAGTGCTGGGATTACAGGCAAGATATGGATTATTTTTCTCCTCAAATTTACCCTAAGTATGTCTCATTCTTTTTCTGTTCTCAGTCCTACGTTTCATGTCTTTAAATTTTGTAACTGATTTTTATAGATTCTCTGAAACTCACAGGAGCTGACCTTCTCTTTACTTTGTCTGAGGGCACCCCATGCATGACGAATTGTTTCCTCATTTTCAAAATGACTTTGCGGGTGGGGAGCCAGGTGACCCTCTGTTAGGTGAGGACGTAACAGTCTTGAGAGGCTTCATATTTTCCTCTACCCTGTGCCTCCCGCTGCCACGGGGGAGCTTGTTCTGTTCACATCAGTTACATGGTTCGGAGGATCCCGGGCCCTGCACATTCTCTAAATTCAAACCTGCACGACGGCAGAGTCATTCGCACAGCTTCTCAGGGGAGCATCGTTTTTCTCCCAAAGATGCATCAGATCGAGTCTCTCCAAGGCCCGTGGCCAGTGACGCCCTGCACCTGAGAGCTCACGGTGGCACTGCATGCAGAGGTCTCAGGGCCGTCCCTGCTTGTTGGGCCCTGGCTCCCTCTCCTTTCCAAACGCCATCTTTAAATCATACATTCTTTACTATTAAGACTGGCTTTCTCCTTCCTGCAGACCAGGATAGCTCTGGTGTGACCTCAGTACTGGCTTAGAGGTACCCTAGGGGACACTCCTTACATTCCCACCAGCTCAGTGATGCCTCTGAGGGACACTGCCTGTGCATCCTCCCGACTCTGTGGGCAAGGTGGCATGCAGCCCCTCAGGTTATACCCCTGCCTTGTGACCAGAAGAGGCCACCCCTACACTTGCCCTCAAGCGTTAGTGCATTCTTGCTGGAAATCCACACATGTACCTCTCAGTCACATTCTGTCCAGCCATGCAGGCCCCGAGCTCCCAAAAGACCCAGACCTGCTTCTTTGGTCCCCTTTGGGTCTCTGGCCCTTGGTGGGTGCACGCACATATATTCAGTGAGACAGGGTCTGAGCCAACCCACAGGGGCTGCTGAACGTGCCCACCTCAGGGCCAAGGGCCACCTGGCTCTCTCCAGAGGACAAAGTCAGGTGGTCACGTACCTGTACTTCTTGGCAGGACTCTGTCTGTGGCAGATGGGTTTGTCGTCCTGGAGAGGAGAGAGGCTCTGGCTGTGTCCTCCCCAGCAGACTGTGGCAGAGTCTGTCTTGAGGGTCTCTCCCTCCACTCCTGGACAAGGCACCTTCTCCTTTGGAGCAGCTACATCTGTCATGGTTCTCATATCCCCATTGTCAGGCTCGGGTGCCTCTGGCTCCTGCCTGCAGTAAAAGAGAGCTGAAACTCTGGCTGAGACGGGCCCACCATCCCGCCCCTCACAGGCCCCAGGGGCCTGGTATGCATCAGTCACACAGGCATGCTTGGAGGTCCCTGAAGCCTTGGCAAGGCCACAAGCAGCCCCCAGCCACAGACACCCCCTCGCCTGAGCATCTGTCTCTGGGGAAATGGGGGTCCCTGAAGCCTTGGCAAGGCCACAAGCAGCCCCCAGCCACAGACACCCCCTCGCCTGAGCATCTGTCTCTGGGGAAATGGGGGGTCCCTGAAGCCTTGGCAAGGCCACAAGCAGCCCCCAGCCACAGACACCCCCTCGCCTGAGCATCTGTCTCTGGGGAAATGGGGGGTCTTTGTCAGAAAGCGGAAGGAGAAGGGACCAGTGGGCGGCCTGGAGGCCTGGGGCCTGGCCTAGGGTCTCAGCTCCCCCATGGACTTACGTGATCTGCCCTCCCCGGGCACCTCTGCAGCGTCCCTGAGCAGGTCTGCAGGGACAACCCAGGAGGAGGATATCACCTCCCCACAACCCCCCAGCGCCATCTCCCCCAGGGCCCTCTCCCCTCCAGGCGGTCAGCACTGACCACTGCCTGTTTTGTGGAGGGGAGTTAGACGTGGGTGCCGCAGAGAGAACAGGCTGTTTGACTAAGATCCCATCCCTCTCTCCCTGGACACGTGTTCTCAGAGACCACGGCCCCAGGGAGTGCGTGGCCACAGGGACCAGGTGCCAGGCCTCAGACCACGGCCCCAGGGAGTGCGTGGCCACAGGGACCAGGTGCCAGGCCTCAGAACACGGCCCCAGGGAATGTGTGGCCACAGGGACCAGGTGCCAGGTCTCAGAACACGGCCCCAGGGAGTGTGTGGCCACAGGCACCAGGTGCCAGGCCGAATCACATGGGTTCCAGGGGAGGCCTCAGCCCATCACCCTGACCTGCAAATCCAGGCCTGACCCCAGCCTTGCCCTGTGGGGAGGAGGCCCAGGGCAGAGCCCATCGCCACAGATGTGGCCCTTGGGACCCACAGCATCCATCCCCTTCTTGGCAAAATCGCCCACCCAATTAAAGCTGGCTGGGGTGGCTGTGCCTCCTCCAGGCTCCCCGAACACTCACCACCCACGAGACCAGACAGGGACGCACCTGTCTTCAGTGTCCTGACAGCGATACAGCAGTAGGTACGGGGTCTCAGACCTGCGAGAGGAGCGGGGACAGGACCCATCGCGCCTGAGTGGAGTCCTGCCCACCAGGCACGCGGCGGCATCTGTCCCACACAGCAGCAAACCCAGGCTCAGCAGCCTTGGCTTCCTGGGTCTCTGGCCAGACTCACCATTTCCTGGGTGGTCCTCCTATTCCTGAGCCCCGCTGTGCGGGCATCACACCTCCCCTCCCTGGACGATGGCAGACGACACACAGGGGATGATCCCCACTCTCGCCCCTGCCCGTGGGGCCCTTGCCACACAGATAAGAGGGAGCAGAAGGCACAGACCTTCCTCCCACAGGGGTGTGATATGAGCTCGGGGTGGGGGTACAGCCCTGTGAGGGGTCTGGGTCCAGGCCATGGGTCAAACCTGACCCCACGACAGTAACCCTCTCAAGGAAGGGTGCCCCGCCTGTCCCACTCCCTCCCCGGGTGAAAGGTCAGCTGCCCTCAGTGGGCGCCGCCTCCACAACAGGGCCCTGGGGTCATCACGCAGGACAGGGTCCCACCCCGCCCCAGGAGGGCCCAGCAGCCTACCTGAACGTGTGGTGCAGAGGGAATTCCGGCCCCACCTAGAGTGGGAAGGTGGGGCCTTGAGGATGCTGCCCTGCCACCCATCCCCACACCCTCCCACCTCAGCCTGGCCCTCAGCGGGGTCACCCTGAGAGTCACTGCCTTCCACTCGGACGTGCCCTTCACTGGCCCGACCACCTTTACCTGCCCACTGCAATGCTCGCTAGCGTCCCTGGTGGCCACGCTGCCCTCCTGCCACAGTGGCCTGCAGCAGCCCTCCCAGCCTGCCCTCCCCAGGGCCACCACCCTCTCCGGCTTCCTTCCCCCCTCCCACCCTCCTCCTGTCTCAGCCTCCTCCCGCCTCACCCACCCCTGCACCCGCATCTCCTCTCCCCATTCTGCTCCCATTCAGCTTCACTGTGTCCAACAGCCCTCACCCATGTTCTTGTCTCTGCAATAGCTTTTTTTGTGCTGTTAAAATTCTCCTTTCTTATTATACTTTCTTTTTAAACAAAGGCACACATTACTTTCAGAAATTAAGAAACCATAACATTTTGCTACAGAAGTTAAACCTGAGGGGAGAAAAAGGTTCCCAGAACTTCCGATAACAACAGTGAAGCGACATTAAGCACCAGCTCAGGGGTCCCTTTATTCCCTTATCACAGACAGCACACAGGAGGCCCCAGAGAACTGCTGGCTCCCTAAACATGCCGACCCCGGGCGCAGGACGGGCGGGACTCACACAGTGCACCTGCTGGTCATTGAAGCGGAACCACTCCGCCCTGCCGGGGGGCTGGGCCAGGGCTGTGTAGTGGCCCCCGCTGCAGTCTCCCGAGTGGCAGCACATGGCGTAGAGGTGGTAGACCCTCTGCTCCTGCAGGGCAATTGGGGCTTCAGAGGGTGGGGGTGTGCGTGGGCAGGCGTGTGTGGGACTGAGTTCCAGGGCAATGGGGGAGGCCCTGCTAGCTGTGACTGTGCTCTGGGGGCGGGAGTATGGACCCCACCCTGCCACCCCTCAGTGTCACAGCTGCAGGCCAGCCTCGGGGCCCAGAGCTCAGCTTCCAAGAGCAACGGGGCTGTACAGGACCAGAGTCTGCCTCCCAGCTGGGGTGGGCTGGGGCACAGCTCCCTCCACCACTCCCTAGCTCTGAAAACCTAAAGCTCCGGGTTTTCCCTGGAAAGTGCCATCCCACACCTGGCTTCCCGTCCCCTCAGGAGGCCATGGGAATCCCCGGCCCCCATCTGAGAATGAAGCACTTCCTGGCTTGCTTACACAGCCACTCTGGGGAAAGCCCAAACATTGCGCCTCAGCCTGCACTGGCTCCGGGTCAGCTTGGAAGGAACTGAGCATCTCAAGGGGCTCATGGAGAGGAGATCCTCCAGGAAGGCCTGTCCTGAAAGCCCAGCACGCAGGCCGCCCCGCCAACGGGCAGCTGCCCCGCACACCTCCTGCCCCAGCTGCCGGGGCCCCCCCGCACACCTCCTGCCCCCAGCTGCCGGGGCCCCCTCCCAAGCCCTTTGGACCCCATCACTGCCCCGCCTTCCATCACGCGATGTGGGCTGCTCTTCTTAATCACACCGGCAGACAGGTTTCCCATAGCCAGGATGGCCTCCGCCCCCCGGCGCCAGCCCACCCTGCCTGTCCTGCGGTTGTTCGTGTCATGAAGGGACAGGCAGGCAGGACACGCTGGCCGGAAATGTGACTGTCCCTGCAGGCTGCGGGCATGATGCCCCACACTGCGGCTCCCCCTCTCCAAGGCTGGGCACTCACCGGGTTGGGGGTGAGTGTGCCACTGCGGGAAGCTTTACACTTAGGCAACGTCAGTTCTCTGGGGCTGGTGTGCAGTTTCAGCACCTGGGCAATGTTGATAGGCTTCTGAATTTTGTGAAACCTCCCGTTTTCAAATGTCAGCTCCCTGACTTGCAGAATCAGGATCTTCGGGAGCTGCAGGAAGCGTGTCTCCTAAGGAAGGAGAGAGGTGGGGGCAGGGAGTTGCACACCCCACTGGCTCTGGAAGAGCCTTCCAGCCACCTGCCCCAGCTGCCTCCCACATTTCCTCAGTCAAGGTTCGTCTGCACTGCTTCTGGTTTAAAAAGCACAGAGAATATCACAAAACATGACCATCAACCTTCCAGTTCTGTGGTGCCTGCTCTAAGTGGGCAGTCTTGAAGCCCAGGGCCCTGGGAAGGCGGACGACTGTAGCCCGTGCCTGTGTGTCCAGGGACAGCCTTGTCTGCAGCACAACCCTGCCTTGAGCCTTTAGTGGGAAGGTCAAGCTGATAAGACTAGGAGTGAGCAAGGACCAGGGGGCAGCTTCCTGGTCATTGTCAAGCTCCATGGATATGAGTGGGCACTTGGCACCTGCTGAAGACTCCTGTCTGTGCTCTAAGGGAGAAGAATGTCTTTTGGGAAAGTTTGACAATTGGAACTAACCCACCTCCAGACGACCAGGACAGAAGCCGGACACCACACCCACCTCCAGACGACCAGGACAGAAGCCGGACACCATACCCACCTCCAGACGACCAGGACAGAAGCCGGACACCATACCCACCTCCAGAAGCCGGACACCACACCCACCTCCAGACGACCAGGACAGAAGCCGGACACCACACCCACCTCCAGACGACCAGGACAGAAGCCGGACACCACAGACCCCCCCATTTACTGGAAGGATCAAGACTTAGCACCTGTGTGGAAAACAGTCTGCACCAAAGGAGATTCTACAGGGTGAAAATAATCCAAACAAAGATTGCAGGAAGAAAGAACAACCAAAATGGCAAATGAGCAAATAAAGATAAATGCTAGCTGTAGAAAGCAATAGAAATGCCTTGCGCATGTAGAAAAAATAATTAGAGCCCACAATAAGGACATGCAATGCCATGGAAATGGAGAGAGGTGAATACAAAGTTCCTGCACCGTTGGAGAAGCAGCAAAAGAACCAGCCAACACCAGCCCACGGAGCTGAAACAGCAGGACACAAACATGCAGGTCGACACCACACAAACACGCAGGTCGACACCGCACAAACACGCAGGTCGACACCGCACAAACACGCAGGTCGACACCGCACAAACACGCAGGTCGACACAACACAAACATGCAGGTCGACACAGAGGGGTATGGTGTCCAGCTTTTGTCCTGGTCTTCTGGATAATGAAATAATCCAAACCATTCTTTGACATGGAGGATGCCAGGAAAGGAGAGAAGCTCACAAGGCAGGCGGGGCACACAGAAGGTGCTTCGTGAGACGGCAGATTTAACACAGGCATAAGGAAGGTAGAAGTCACATCGCTAACTCAGTGACACACATGGTCAGAGGTCATTTTGCAAGTCAAGGGCATGCAGTTTAGAGGAAGCGTACACTAGAATCCAATCCACTAGAATCCAGAAAGGTCAAAAGTGACAGGGTAGAAAAAGACAGACCAGGGAAACCACAACCGAAAGAAGGCCGCGGCAGGTCTGCTAAGATCAGACTAAGAAGATTTTAAGGTAAAAGCTTAGCCAAAAGTAGACATTTCAAAATACTAAATAGGTCAATTTCCCGGGAAGACAACAATTCTAAATGTCTATCCACCCAATAGCATAGCTTCAAAAATGTGTACAGCAAAAATGGACAGAGCCACAAGGACCTCTGTGCTGATCCACAGTTCTACTGGGAGGTAACTGAAGGAACAACAGAGCAAAAAAAGTCCATGAGGTGATGGCCACACACTGAGCAAGCTTGCCCCAAAGGATGCAGAGGACGGTACACCCCAAGACGGCAGGAGGTTTTCCTTTGCACGTGAAATGATTATGAAAGCTGACTGTAGCCGTGTGCGTGTCTCTCACAGGTCTCGACAAGTTTTTAAAAAATGGCCATTGGTCAGTTTTTTTCTGAGTACGATTTTTTCACATTTGTGCCCAAAGAGTCCAGAATTATTTTTTTCTGGCACACTGTCAGAAACCTACACCACAAAGATAATTAGAAGATTCCCACATGTTTGGAAAGAAGCAAATATATTTCTAAATAACCCACAAGTCAAAGATAACATGTAATAGAAATATTTTGAAGTGAACAGTTATGAAAATCTAATAAATCAAACCTTGAGGGAAGCAGCTACAGCCATGACGAGAAGAAATAAGAGGCTTGAATAGTAGTAGGACATATATATATATATGGGCATCCTTCCATACACACACAGGTACATAGTTATTTATCAGAAAGTTGGATCTGGCACTAACTGTCAGCAAAACCTTCCCACGAAGACAACAGACAACCCCGAGACCCAGGAGGCCTCCTTTGCAAAGTTTAGCAATAACTAAAGGAAGAAATGACTCTAATTTTATACATATTATTTCAAAAAATAGAAAAGGGATATTTCTCAAGTCATTTTCTCAGGCTGGGATATGCACTTGGAAAAGCTGTTCTTGTTTTATCCTTCATCCCACAGACACGTGGGTCCTTTAGGTTTTCTGCTCTCTGAGTCTGTCTCCTAACCCGGGTCCTGACGCTCTCCCTTTTTCTCCTTCTCTCCCTCCTCTCCTGCCTTCCTCCCCCACTCTCTGTCCTTTTCCCCTCACTTCTCTTTTTCCTCCTTCTCTGTTTCTGTCCCTCCTTCCCTTCCTTCTTCCTCTTTCCCTCCACTTTCCTCCCTTCTTGTCTCTTTCCCTCCTGCCTCTTTTTCTCCCTTCGTCCTTCCATCCTTCCCTCCCTCTCTCTTACCTCCTTCCCTCCCTCTCTCTTACCTCCTTCCCTCCCTCTCTCTTACCTCCTTCCCTCCCTCTCTCTTACCTCCTTCCCTCCCCTCTTTTCCTCTCCATTCCACAAATACTTAAGAAGCCTTGTTACCCTGTCTTAAGTTCTGTGCACCTGCTGACCCCTGCCCCTGGGAAGCTCTTTTGAGCCAGAGGGACAACAGTGTCTGCATTGTCCCCAGAGGTTCCCGTCCCTCTGATGCCCCGCTCCCACACCACAGTGAGGGAAGCAGCCCAGACTGGGCCCCTACCTCAGAGGCGGGGGTCTTGGCATTACAGGGCTCACAGAAGAAACGATTGTCTTCATCATCAAATTTCTGGATTAGAGAGAAACTCAGCACCTCTGTGTCCTATAGAAGAAGAAATGAAGAGGCTGAGTCTCTGGGGAATCTGCCATAACACAGGTGGACGCCCAGGTCCCCGGACCCTTTCCTCCCTCTTCTTTTCCACTGCCTATGTCTTGCTCTAGGGTGGATTTCAGGCTACAGCCGAGGCAGGGACTTGGCAGGACCTGCCTTCCTCCCAGGCTGGTGGATGCTGGGAGGGCAGGGACACTGGGCTTGGCTCAGTGGGGGCCTCCCCAGTCCTCTCTGGAGCCCCCTCCCCAGCGATGGGTGGATCCCGGGACCCTGCCCTGCCCATCAAATGCCTGCAACCGCAAGCAGGCCTGTGCAGATCCAGAATCCAAAGTGTGGGGCTGGAACAAGGATGCCTCTGCTGTGCTGGAGGTGAGACCTGCGGCTGTGTCTGAGGTTCAGTCACCCACACCCTGAGCCACCTCCCACTGGCATTCGGTCAGAGTTTCAAAGACTGTTCCAGGGTTCTGGGACTGAGAAGAACCGTTTGAGCATTCTGGGACTGAGAAGAAACCTGCTCAGCAGGGGGAAGGGAGGGCCTCAGCCCAGGCAGGGCCTGGGAGGTGGGGTCACCAGACCCCTGTGGGCGGCAAGCCACCCAGGTGCCGAGGCAAGAGATCGAGGGCACGAGCTGTTCCAGTGTAATAAAATATATAAAATAAGAATAGTAATACTAGATATAGATAATAGATATGATTATATGTGAATATCATTAATCATAAGTCTGCAGCAATTACTCTTTACTCCAATATTATAATAATCTTTGCTCACAATTATAACCTAGGAAAAACCAGGCCATACAGAGATAGGAGCTGAGGGAACATAGTGAGAAATAACCAGAAGACAGGAGTGCGAGCCTTCTGTTATGACTGGGCAGGGCCACCAGAGCGCTCCTTGGTCTAGCGGTAACGCTAGCGTCTCGGAAGACATCCGTTGCCAAGTGGACCATGGTCTACGGTACCATCAGTGTCAAGGGAAAATACCCACTGCTTAGCAGACTGAGAAAGGGAGTCTCCCTTTCCCTGGAGGAGTTTAGAGAAGACTCTACTCCTCCACCTCTTGTGGAGGGTCTGACATCAGTCAGGCCCACCTGCAGTTATCTGGAGGCCTAACCATCTCCCTGTGATGCTGTGCTTCAGTGGTCACGCTCCTAGACCGCCTTCATGTTCCATCCTGTACACCCAGCTCTGCCGTTGAGATAACAGTAGCAAATTAGTGAAAGTACTAAGAGTCTCTGATATGCAGAAATAATGGCGTAAGCTGTCTCTCTCTTTCTCATCTCTTTCTCTCTGCCTCGGCTGCCAGGCAGGGAAGGGCCCCCTGTCCATTGGAGATGGCTCACACTCCTTACCCTGCCCCACCCCCACCCCACACCCCACATAGAGGCCATTTTCCTCTGTGACTCTTGGCTCCCCGACACTTGCCAGCTCCTTTGCCTGGCCATTGTTACCAGAGGGCAGGGGCCAGTGGCCCTCAACATCTAGATGAGCCCCATGAACCCACTCACCAGCCTAGGTATCAGTCACAACCAGACAATCAGGGCTGGCATTGCCATGCGAGAGGCCAAGATCTGGGCATCTCTACATCAATGTGCCTGGAACAGAGCCTGGCACAGACAGGGGCTTCAGACAGGTGGGTGGGCCAAAAGAATGAATGAATGATGGGCCCTTAGCCCTGGCATTTCAGGAACACTACCTTGCAGGGCGACCTTGGGACCACAGTACCTGGGAAACTCCACTAGACGGATTGGCTGGCTTGCCAGGTTTCTGCCCAGCCCCCTCCAAGCCACAGAGCTGGGTGTGGGAAGCCAGGGGCAGGATCAGCATCCTGCCTCCGGATGGGATGTGCTCCTTGTGGCCGCACACCAAGCACTGGATGATTTTCTCCACCTCACTCTGGAACACCTGTGTGAGAGGATGGGGCAAGTTGGGCGGGACCACAGGTCTGGACAGGCCCTGCCAGTCAGGAGTGCTGTCCTGGAAACGCCCTCAGGCACCTGGCCCCGTTTTCAGGGTAGCAGGCCACACAAAACCTTCCCTATCCTCAGGCCCCCTTGACACTGCCCATCTGTGCTGTCACAAGCTTTGGTCCTTCTGTCTTATGAACACACTGCTTGGTCCAATCACAAGGAGCCTTGAGTTAAATGGGAACATACCACAGGAGTCCCAAGGAAGGGGTCAAAGCCTGGGCACTGCCCGTGTGCCAAGGCACAGGACTTCTGTCCCATCAGGGAGCCTAGAGGTCACATTGTCCCCAGCCCAGAGCAGGGGCTTGGGAAATGCAGCCTGGAGGCAAGGACTGGGTAAGGAGTGGGCAGGGAGAGCCCTGCCTGGGTTTGCCCCCATGGGGATGGGCTAAGGTGGCTGCCTCAGGACGGGCTTCAGGGGCACGGCCCTGGGCTTGGCCATGGCTGGCGAGGAGGGCTGCTGATCCAGCTATGGTTGGTGCACGGGTTTCTGATCAGGGAGGCGATGCTACCTCCAGGGAATACACCCTGTTTGTCCCTATGGGGCCTGTTCTCTGCAGCTGCCGCCTGTGTGCCTGGTCCTCAGTGTGGTGGCCTGGGGCAAGTTTTGTCCTCCCTGTGGCCACTAGAAAAATATGGTGATGGTGGCACCTGCCTGCAGTGCTAGGATCCAGTGAGCCCAGGGCCCAGGGCCTGAGCAGCACCAGCCCCACTGAGTAAGCCTTGCGATGGGAGAGGCCCTGCTCCTGCTGATTTAATACCAACATGCTCATGGCCTCAGCAGGGAGGGCGAGGGGCCTGAGTGAATGCTCCTGAGAGCGTCTCAGGTCTCTCCTGCCTGTCACTCTGCACTCCAAGGCAGACACCTGTGGCCCTGGTGCCCTCTTGGCTGTGATCTGGCCAGTGGCCCTCCGAATCTCTCCCTACCCTGCCCACTGCATCCCCTGGCAGGTGTCCAGCTGCCGCCCGCCCTCCCCACTGCCTACCTCCTGCAATTCATCCCGGCCCAGGTGCTGGAGCAGAAGCAGAAACACCTCAGCCACGTCCTGCTGGACGGAGCCTGCAGAGCAGAGACAGAGCCAGGTCAGCGCAGCTGCTTCCCACCACCCCAGAGCCTTCTGTGGCCCAGCCCCTCCCCTCATAGCTACCTCCTCTGCTGGCTGTACCCTGGAACCCACCCCGGACCCCATGTCCTCTCCTTTTTTGGTCCTGGTTCTATCACACGCATCTTTGCAAGCATCTGCCAGGCTGCCTGGCCGGGGGCCTATTAAGAGCAAGTGCCTCTGCTGGGATTCACCAAGCTGTCTCCTGGTCCTCCCCTCCTTCTCTGGCCCTCCCCTCCTACTCTGACCCTCCCCTCTTCTCTGGCCCTCCCCTCCTGCTCTGACCCTCCCCTCCTTCTCTGACCCTCCCCTCCTGCTCTGACCCTCCCCTCCTTCTCTGGCCCTCCCCTCCTGCTCTTACCCTCCCCTCTTCTCTGGCCCTTCCCTCCTGCTCTGACCCTCCCCTCCTGCTCTGGCCCTTCCCTCCTGCTCTGACTCTCCCCTCCTGCTCTGACCCTCCCCTCCTGCTCTGACCCTCCCCTCCTGCTCTGACCCTCCCCTCCTGCTCTGGCCCTTCCCTCCTGCTCTGGCCCTTCCCTCCTGACCAGGGGACCCCAGGTCAAGCTCCAGGATTTGTTCACTCCTTTGTCCATTCACTGATTCACTCATTCCTTCAGCAAATAGGCCCTGAGCCAACTTCAGGAGTGGCACTGGGCACTCAGAGAGCAACAGGGACAGCCTGACTGGGCAGTGGAGCACCCTCAGGCCCAGCCTCTAAGTCAGCCTTGGAATGACAGGCTGACTGCCCAGCTGTCCATGGGGCCTGGGGTGGGGCCCAGCTATAGCCTGGCCACTGGCCCTTCCCTCTGACCCACCCTCTAGAGTGTGGACATTTCTTCTTGGCAGAGTCTCTAAACCCAGCCTGGCACAAGGTGGACGTCCCTCCTGCTGACGGAGCGAGTGTCCCTTAGCCCTACCCCCAGTCTCCTGACAACACCCCCCACACTTGGCGATTGCTGCCACCATCAGCTCATGGACCGCAGTGTCCCAGCCCCGGGTGACTGAGAGGGCTCCTATTCTCTGGACACTCCCAGCAGCGTCTTCCTTGGGCCAGCACATGCTTGGATCACATTGGTGACTCCCCGAGGTCCCGCTTCCTCCCCTCCCAACGGTGCGAAGCCCCAGGATGCTTCTTGGGCAGGTGAGTCACAGACTCTATGCTGAGGTGTCCAGGAAAGGGGTCCGCCCCACCCATAGGTCAGCCTCTCTGCTCCTGACTGTCCCCTGGAACCCGCCCCACGCAGGCCTCTGGCCATCTTGCAACCGCCTTCTCCCAACTTTCGCTGAACGCTGCTCCCCAGTGGCATCGGGTCAGGGGTGGTGCAGACCCCTCAGGGAGACACACAGCCCTTCATGGGATCTCAGGGTCTGGGCTCCACCTCTGCCTGGTGCCCTGTCCCTGTGCCTCCCAACGTCCACTCACTGTGCAGACCCAGGCAGGTGGTGAGGGCACTCGTTGGCACAGGTCCACACCGCCTCTGCAGCCCCCTGAAGATCTGGCCAAGAGCCTGCTCGGGCTCGGAGGTCCAAGGCTTCTCCTGGATCCTGTGGCCACAGAGGAAGCCTGGGTCCTTACCTCGTCTGCACAGACCTGCCGGGACCTGGCCCAGAGGCCCTCAGGCCACCCAGCCTCTCACCTGTCTCGGAATTCAGGTGTCAGAAAGAGACACTGCAGGAGGGCGTTGAGGTAGCAGGTGAGGCCTTGATTGATGAGACCCGCAAAGTGGGCTCCACCTAGGATGACCGTGGCCAAAGCCTTCTGAACTCACAGCCTCTCCCCCAAGAACTGGAGGCGCCCCCAGTCTCAGAGAGGGGGCCTCTGACTTCCTTCCTTTTCACACTGTGCTGGACACAAGCCTGGGAGCTCCCCACTCACCAGGCAGAGGGGTCCAAGGGGCCTAGGGCCTTTGCCCTCTGTCCTTTCCTTTTCCACTGCCCACAGTGGCAGCAGCCTCCTTCAACACACTTCAGGGCCAGCACCATCCCAGAGGGCTCTCCCTGGGGCCCCTGCCCAGAGACCCAGGAGTCCTACCTGGAGCCTCCTGGCTGCACTCGGTCTCCGCATCTGTCCAGCCTGTGGTGACAAAATGCTTCAGTGCCCACAGGGGCCCCGAACAGTACAGCGCAACTGCTTTCGCCTTTTGCAGAACCTGCCGCAGCGGCTCCATTCCAGATATGCTTGCCCAGAGGGTGCTGCGGCCGCAGGCCATTGAGGGAAGTCCTGTCTGGGTGGCAGGTGCTGGGAGAGAAGCTCTGGGTTCCCTGGAGCTCAGCATCCACCCCGGGCCCATGCTGGAGGTGTGGACTTACCACGACCGTCTCTGTGGGTCACGGCATCACGGCCCCGACGGCCACGGCGAGGCTTCCTGCCCGAGGCAGCACCTGCAGCGCGCCGGTCAGCAAATACGTTTGCCTCACGGTTTCCACACCAGCATGTCCCTGCGGCGGCCGGGGAGACAGGACTCAGGGCTCTGTGCTGACTCCAGGCTGGTGTGTCCCACGGACGGGTGTGACTGCTCTGAGCCCAGCACATGTGAAAGGCACCCCAGGAAACTGAGGAGGAACTGGGGCCAGGGGCAGCAGTGACGCTCACACCACCAGGCCACCACACGAGAGCCCCAGGCAGCTGCAGCGTCCCGGAGGCGCTGGAGCACAGGCAGCCCGGCCCTCCCCAAGGGAAAGTTAATGTTCCTTTGGTTTAAGGAGAAAGTGTCAGTGGAGACCTTGCTCTCCACACAAGACCCCTCCAGGCACAGGCGGTGCCCCCTCCCCCGCCACACGCACAGTGCAGCCTCCCGGCCGGGCTGCACACCCCGGCCTCCCGGAGCCACTCTCTGTGCCGGCCGGGACACAGGCGCCAGAGCAGCAGAGAGGCCGGGCCGCGGGAAAGGGAGGCAGCACGCTGCAGGCCAGCGCAGCTCCCACGCTGCGAACCGAAGACACCGTAAGGGGAAAAGGGCAGGGATTCTACCCGGCGAACGAAAGCGATTCATGGCACGGAGTCCAGAGGCCCTCACCCATCTGGAGGCATGTTCCCTGTGCGGCAGGACAAAGTCTCGCCCTGGCTGCCTTCTCTGGGCCACTGGGGTGGGGGCCAAGGAAGGATGGGCGTGGGGCTCCCTGTTTGTGCTGGGGCGAGTTTCAGTTTCCTTCTCCTCTGCAGAACGTTTCTGAGAACTCCCCGCCCTCTCCTTCCTGTGTGGGTGCTGGAGGGGGAAGGGGGACTGGGAAATCCTGGGGGGTGAGGAAGGGGCCCCAAAGGGGAAGCCCACTGCCCTTTCCCCTGTCCCCCTCTGGGCACTGCCCCTGCCCTGCATGGCCCTGAGGGGTGGGCTCCAGCCACTGCACCCTCCTGCCCCCATGGCTGGCCTTGGGGCTGCAGGTGGGGAGACAGTCCCCCATGCAGTGCAGAGCACATGGAGACAAGCAAACAACGCCACTCCCCCAAACCGAAACTTCCTCATCTGGAGACAGACAGGCAGGAGGAGCCTGGGAACGCCTGGCCCTGACCTTGGCTTCTGCCTGAGGGTGGGACTCCCCATGCGCTGGCCTGGAGGCGGCACTGCCTGGGGGACCCTCCCCTCCCTGGTGCCTGCAGCTCACCAAGCGTCCGCTTTGGACATCAGGGTCGATGTCCACCCCAACTTTGCCCCATTTCCCTAGCTGGAAGGCCACTGGGAGCATTGCCCTGCATCAGAGATGGGGTGCACCCCTGGGGGCCCCCTTCCTGGCAGCCCTTGGGGTGGGGTGGCCCAGGCAGCTCCCCCAGTGGGCGGGACAGGGGTGGGTAGGGGTGGGGCTGGAGCCTGAGCTGCTGGCTGCTCCTGCCAGCTGTGGAGAGTGCAAGGCCAGACCGTAGCCCCAGGGCCCCCAAGCCAGCTCCCCATGAGCCACAGCGCCCCTGAGCCCCCGCTCAAGTTCGTGCAGGGCAAAGATGAGATAACTGGTGAGTCCGGGCAGACACGGTGGTGGGGTGGGGTCGGGGGGTACTGGATTTAATTAGAGGCTTGCGTTTGGACTGGAAAGGTGATGTAAAAGGAGTTCCTCCCCATCACCCCCCAAGTTCCTAAACTTGAAAACAAGCTGCTGGGGTCTGAGAGAACCTGGCTTACAGCCAGCTTCCTGGCGGCTTCCACACTGGGCAGACACAGGACTGAGGAAGGAGCCTGGGATCCCCAGAACCTGGGTTTCCCAGAACCCCAGACACCCGGGACCACAGTGACTGGGGTTGGGGGACCAAGACCAAGGAGAGGTGTGGAGAGAGTGAGTCAGTGGCGGGTGTGGCTGCGAGGGGGTGGAGGGAGGGGAAGGGCTGCAGGGAGTGGAGGAGGATGGCTGCAGGGGTGAGGGAGGGGAGGGCTGCAGGAGGTGAGGGAGGAGGGCTGCCAGGGGGTGGAGGGAGGGGAGGGCTGCAGGGG